ATATCACCATATTTTACATGATTTTACTATATATTTACCTATGTTTTCAAACGGTTTTTGCAAGATTCTTTGCCTTTAGAGGTAGTTTTCTTGTATTTGTGGGATTTGAAGTCTTTGTAGGTGAAATAATCAAAAAGGATGCAAAAAGGAGTAAAAGAGCCCTAAATCAAGATCCATGCAAGTTTCCAAGTCAAGAAGATCATTTTATCTCCAAGTGTTAGTTCTCGCTTGCGCGCAGAACGAAGCTTCGGAAGTTTGGCCGCGCGCGGAGGAGTTCCCGACGTCCAAAAGTTACGATCTTGATATGGAAAGATAGATACTTGAGTCATGCATCACGTCGAAGTGGAATGAAGCCATTTGGATCAACTATGAGGCCTAGACTTATTTTCTACCGAGACATGTCCGGTAAGCGAGCAAACGAAGCCCATGGAGGATTTGGAGTGTCTAATGGCCCGAGCAGCAGCGCCAAAGGCCTTGATCGAATAGAGAAGAGGCCTGGCTAATGTTTGGAGCTTTCCTTGGTACAATGTCGGCCCATACACGACGTGGAGAAGAAGGCTTTGCTCACGGGAAACTTTCCTTTTCCGGCATGAAGAAAACCCTACGCGACTTCGCCCATATATACATGTTTTTAGCCGCTGAAGAAGAGAATCGAGTCCAGTCCGAAAATTACAAAGAGTTACGTGTGAGAGAGAGAGAAGAGAAGAGAAGCCCTAGGAGATCGTCCAAGAAGAAGGAGGCGCCGCTCAACTCTTGTTCTTTCTTTTTCATTGTTTCCATTTCTATAAACTTGATCTTAAGAGTTTTCAAGGGAGAATCCGACTTTGTTCATCAATAGAGAAGCTTTCTTCATCCCTTTATCTCTTTTAATACTTGCATAATGTTTACAATCATGCTTTGCTTGCTTGTTTGCATCATGGCCGAGTAGATCTCTTAGTTAGGCCGAGGAGATCTATGGTGGCCGTGATGATTTGATTGTGTTGCAACTTATTGGGATTTATCTTATGGATCTTCACCTTTACTTGAGCTTAATGCATGATTACTCTACCGTACATCTAGTAATCTGATCTTAGAGAAATAGAACCACGACAGTGCTGAATCTAGATCTCAAAACTAGTATTTGGTGAGCAATAGATCATAGCCAACGAAAGCTGAGTTATGGTTTATTGTGAACAATTGAATCTTGAACCTTGTAATGCATGTTTGCAATTCTAATAGCCAACGAAAGCTGAGTATATTAGGTTGTTTTAAACATAGTGGTTGGAGCCACGACAGTGGAAAGACCATACACTAGTGATTCATGTTCAAGACGGCTCTACACACATCCCATGCAACTATCTTTTCATCATTGCTCCATATGATTGTCCTTTGCCTAACTCTTGTTTTAAATTGTTTACAACTCACTCACATCTTTTTGTTTTTTCTCATTCTAGGTCCAAAACCACCTCATATTGCGAGCTAGCTACAAACCAATCTCACAAGGTGTTAAGTGAGAACACTTCCTCCTCGTGTTCGACCCCGACTACAACACGGCTGTGCACTTGCAGCTCATTAGTTGGGTTTATAAATTGTGAAAATTTGAGGCAATCTAAACCCGCCATCAAACAACAATACACCCTAAACTCAAGCTCACATTATAACCCCCTACTACACCCTAAACCCAAACCCCATATTAGCTCCACCTAGACAACCCTACAACTAGAGATGTCAAACGGGCCAACCCGCACCCAAACGGGCCAGCCCTCCGCGGTTTCACTTTGCCGGCGGATCAGGCGGGTCGGGCCGCGGTCTCCAAAAGCTCGGCCCTAACCCGCACCGCGTTATATTGGCGGATATGCGGGTCAACCGCGGGTTCAATGAATATTAAGCTGAAATCAAACCTGTAAAGACCATGTGTTAACCAAACCTGAAACTTGCACCATGTTTAAGCATTTATGTTGTTTTGTAATAATCTTTTGCATGAATCATAATGGAATCAGTTTGTAATTGATGTAATATCTCTTAGAGATCATATGATATGACTGTTAGTAAACTCTTTTTTTCCACGTAATAGAGTTTTGGATTTTCACTTTCATATTAAGAGAACCATAGACTTTTATAAACCTGTTCATGGAGGCAAAAACTCTTAAACAGAAGCTATTTGCAAGAACAAATGCTCATGGAGGCAAAGAACTCATACACTAAAGCACATATGGTTGATCAAACTAAAGCACATATGTTACAAATGATTAAACTAACTCATGAGTCATGACATCATAATCAAAAACTGTAATCTTCATTGTGTAACACAAAGCATTATTCAAACAATCAAACTAACCATGAAAGAAAAAACAGAGATCCAATACCTTTTAGGACATGCATCAATCAAACGTAACTTCTTCCACTCCACCACTTTCTTCTCCCACTTGACATACCATATGGCAAAGTGAGGGATCAGTTTTTTGTCAACATACCACGTAAACCCAAACCCTAAACCCAAACCCACATTATAATCCTAAACCCAAACCCACATTATAATCCTCTCCCCCTAAATACCACGTTACAAATAGGTTTTGGGTTGGCTTTTATGTTTTTATTTTCTTTAAAAGAAGGTTTTTTTTTTGTAATGATTGTTTGCTTCTCACTCTTATTCTTTTCCAGCGATTCCATTTTTTTCTTTTTCTTCAACTTTTTTTATTCATTGTCATCATTATTCATTTTCATCTTCTTCTTCTACTTCTAATTTTTGTTCTTCAATATTTTCTTATTTCTTCATATACTCCAACTCACTATTTTTCTTTTTATTTCTAATTTTCTTTACATGATTTTTCCGGTTTTTCTTCTTCCTCATTCCCTCTCTCTTTCTTTATCTTTATCATCTTCGTCTTCTTTGACATAATTTTATTCTAGTTTTTATTTATCTTTTCTTTGTCTTTTTTCTCTTCACATTCTATTTTTTCTTATTTGATTTCTTATTACTCATGTTCGAGTTTTCTTATTGTTATCGAGTTTCCCATCTTATTTTCTTTTCTTTAACTCATTTTTATTCTTGTATATGTCTTGTATTTTACTTATCAAATTATTGATAGTTTAGATTTTCAATGATGGGTGAAATAGTTTTTATCTTAATACAGGCGAGATATTTTAAAAATCTATGGGTGTTTTCATCTTTTTTGATTATGGATTTGCTTTGGTTGTTGTAGTTATTATTTCTCTTTGTGAATGAATTTTAGAATAGTAGATATAGATTTTGATATACTTTCATAATAATTCAAATTTTTTAAAATTCACAAAAACTAAACCCTTCACCCGTGAGTATAAACCCTACTTCCTAAACCCAAACCCAACAATATAACCCTCTCCCCCCACCCATCAATATAAACCCTATTCCCTAAACCCAAACCCACATTATAACCCTCTCTCCCTAAGTCAAGTCACTCACGTGAACCCCACGTTACAAATTGGTTTTGGATTTGCTTTTATTTTTTTTTCTTCAAAAGTTTTTTTTAGTGATTGTTTTCTTCTCTCTTATTCATCTCGAGTGATTCAATTTTCTTCTTTTTCTTCCATTTTTTTATTTGTTGTCATCATTATTCCTTTTCTTTTTTTCTTATTCTATTTCTAATTTTTGTTCTTCAATATTTTCTTTTTTTCTTCACATCCTCCAACTCACTATTCATCTTTTTATTTCTATTTTTTCTACATTCTGTTTCCGGTTTTTCTTCTTCCTCATTCTCTCTCTCTCTCTCTCTCTCTCTCTCTCTCTCTCTTATCATCTTCTTCTTCTCTAATTATCTTATTCTAATTTTTATTTATCTCTTCTTCGTCTTTTTTTCTTTTCACATTCTATTTTTTCTTCTTTGATTTCTTATTCCTCATGTTCGAGTTTTATTCTTCTTTTCGAGTTTCTCATCTTCTTTTCCACCATCTTCTTTTTTTTTACTCGTTTCTTTAATTCTTGTCTATGTCTTGTATTTCACTTATCAATTCATTCGATAGTTTAGATTTCCAAAGATGGATGAAATAGTTTTTATCTTTATATAGTCGAAATCTTTTAAAAATCTATGGGTGTTATTATCTTTTGATTTTGGATTTTCTTTAACTGTTTTAATTTTTTTCTTTGTCTTTGTGAATGTATTTTAGAATAGTAAATAAATCCTCAAACACCATAGCATCACTATTTTTGTCTCAAAGCACCACAATATATTAAGAACATTAAAAAACAAAAAAAAAACAAATCATAATTAATATATGTGGAAGCATCATAACATATCAAATATCATAATCAAACACCACAATATGCTTTGATTCATCATGTGTTATAGTTTCATCATCTTCATATACATTTTTCTGATTTTATTTCTTCTTTTGATTTTTCTTCTTCATTGATTATTTTCCCACGTTCTTAGCATATTCGTCTTCTCCAACTTCTTATTATTCCAAATTTTATTTCTTCTTCTTTTACTTTGTCTTCTACTTCTTCAACCATTTTTTTCTTATTCTTATTCAACTTTTCAATCTCTTTTTCATTTCCTCTTTCTTCATCATCATTTTTTAATTGCCTGGTTTTTATTTGTTTTCGTTCTTTTATTTACAATTTTATTTTAATGGTATTGTGTTCTTATTTTTCATCTTTGTTATATTTCCAACTTACTCTTTGTTCTCATATTTTCCAACTCTTTTCCTTTTTTGTTGTGTTTATTTTGTTTTTCCGTCTTCCAACTTTCGTTTGTCTCCCCCCTCCCTCCTTCTTAACCAGAAAGAAAGAATAGATATTATATAGTTAATTTCATTATAGAAGTAGCTTCGTCGGTTGCGAGCCGCTGGTCAAGTTGCAAAACTCCTCTCTTCAAACGGATTTGCCCAAAGAAGGCGTTATCAAAAGTCAACGGCGTTGACCGGTCTAATCCCGTTGATGGGTTCGCTGAGGCCGCACATATGAAGGTGTTAAGTCGTTTACTTAATTAACCATGAAGGTGTTACAGTAATTAATTCGCATAATTTAAAAGAAATGGTCTAACTTACTTTGAAACCAAACCAGAGTCCATGGATGGGTCGGTCTGTCCGGTTCCGTTAAAATTTGTGAGCCGATCTTTGAATGGATCACAAGAACCGACACCAACCGTGTGTGCACCCAAGAGAGCAACAGCATCGAACGTGTTCAACAGTTTGTCTCCAAAGAACTTGAGAAACGCAGCCACAGAGGCGGTTGGTCCGAGAAGGTCGAAAACGCCGTCTCCATTCGTTTTTAAGCCATCGCGCCGCCCCGTGGGAATGTTGTAGCTCGGGCCTCCAGCTAAGGCCACCGAGTCACGTGTGGCGATGGCCACTATGTCAGCGCAAGAGACGTTGGAGGGACATTGAGCCTCAAGCGTGGCCTTGATCTTGTCGATCAGGTGGAAGCCTCTCACGCTCAAGTTTGGACCGACTCTTTCCGTTGTCGGATCTTTTGAGTTTATGAGGATTAGAACCGTCGCAGCCCTAAGAGATATAATACATGCAAATTACTTTAAACATAATATTCAGTCGTGATATACTTTTTTTTATGAACAACATTGATAGGTTTTATAAATTTTATGCATGTGTTAACAAATACCTAATTTCTATAAAGATAGGTTTTATCTTCCTTTTTTTAATGGTATGATATATTTCGTTTTTTTTTTATGATTATTATCGTAAACTATTTTAATTAAAAATAAAAATCGTGACATTTTAAAAAAAGGAAATAACGAATGTATATGGATGTGTTTTGAGTTTAATACATTCAAATAATTGTAGATACATTTTGTCAAAACGACAACTAATTTGAAATGGAGGGAGTATCATTTCCCTTTCTCTAATTTATACTACAATTTCTATTAAACTTTGATACCAAGTTATCACATACTTTCTATTTCTTAATTAATTTTTGTGTATTTTTCTTAATTTATCTTATGTATTTCTTTGGATTACATGTAAAAAATATAAATAGTCATATATTAAATATCTTAAATACAATTTAATGAATTTTTTGCTTATGTGGATCCACTAGATAGAAAGAAAACTCTCCTATTATATATAAGATTTTGTTGAACATGTAGAAAGTGTATGCTTTGTGGAGAGACTGCAATGCTTGTTTCCTCCTACTGTTATAGTCCTAGAAAGAAGGTTAAAGTATTTCTTGGATAATCACATTGATCCTGAGTTGAAATACTGTTTTTACCACAATATTGTGGATAGTGATTTGTCACTGATTTCCTAACATCAATGTGGAAATATAAAATACGTTCGGAGGGTCGGTCTGAGTCCATTATACAATTCTTTATAATGGGGCTTCATTTTTTTCTTATAAATATATATTTTTTATTTTAGCTTAAGAATTCAATTTTAGGGTCTCAATTTCCTCTTTTGAATTGGACCCTTAAAATATCAGGCCCAACACTAGAGACTGTACAGGTAATAAGACTAGACTATGCGCCAATCTTGAAGTCTTTGGATTATTTACTGTTTAGTGTTCTAAAAATCCATTAGGTAGTGTATGGGAGTAGTTTAGATATTGGAGGAACATACGGATGAAGTCTGATTCTTGAAGTTCTCACATGATGCCAAATAATTGGTTTCTTCTTCCAAGGATCACTCAGAAATTATATGCATGGCTTTCTCTTGCTGTTTATGTAGGTTTCTTCTTCAATTAGAAATGTGCTTTTTTCTTTATTCAAATCGTGGAAATAGTTTTATCTCGTAACACATATGCATAGAAATAGTTCTATCTAAGATGACATGATTCAAATCCTGAAATAGTTTTATCTCGTAACACATAAGCATATAAATAGTTCTATTAGTATGGAGGCTGTCTTGGAGTCGTTTCTAACATAAGCCCTTATCCAAGGGTTGTATGTGCAACTATCAGGTGAGAAACCACTCTGAATTTTCTTGGAGACAATCATTTTTGCCATTAATAAATGGTTTCTTTTGCATAACCAATACATCATTGTATTGTACATCCGCAAGTCAATTTCAGTACATTTTGAAGGTAAGCTAAAGAATAGATTGCATGCTTCTTTTACTTTCTTGACCTTGAAGAAAGCCTCCAGCATTGTGTTATTCACTTTTTTGTTATTCATGTGCGGACCTAGTGCATTGCATTGTCACCTTTAATCACGAGTCCACTAAATTGCAAACCAGATATTAGTAATTGTGCTTGTATTTGCCTCAAATGCAGTATATGGTTGGAACTATCATGAGCCGAAAGTATAAATAATCCTAATCAGTTCAGAAATGGTTGTACCAAAACTCAACAGATTTTCAGCTTTGAGGTTTTATAAACGAATTCCAAAGAAAAAAAAAAGAAATAGAAAGTTGAGTGAAAAGGAGTTCTTACTCTGGACAAAAAGAGATGCTTCCACCATTGTTGTTCTTCTTAACTACTTATTTTCGAATATCTTTTTCCCAAGTAAGATAGTTTCATATCATTAGTGTTCCTCATGCAAACTATCATTCTGATATTAATTAAGTGAATGGTATCCCAGTTCTATTAACAGACTTCAAGTATTTTATCTTCGTAATAATGCTAAGAATGATATGCATGATCTGAAATTCCAATTATAATCACGATGAGAATATGCTACTTGCATGGATTGAGATTCTGGAGGAACATGTGGAAAGTAGGCTTTTAAACTCTTTGGTTTCTCACTCGGGTGCTTTTGGTTTTGCTTGATATCATCTTCTGAAAATTTAGTTAAATGGTGCTGGCTCCAATTTGAGCGTGTGTTACTTTCATAGTTTCATCTCTATGGCAGCTTCACAGGATTAATCTGCTAGCTTTTCTAATATCTAGCCCTAATTTGATTTCTTAGCGCAAGTAACACACACTCAATGTAACCATCATCTATCAACAAATAATTGGAAGATTAATTAATAAATGTCAAGTGTGAGGACGAGATTTGATAAATGATTGCACCGGTTACGGTTGAGTGAGGCAAGCAGGGACAAAGAAACCGACCTCATTAAATCTGGGACCGGTCAGATATTTCCACGTCATAAACTCTTCTCGGACATTTCAAACGCCTACTAAAGAGTCAGGCCCTGTTCGTTTGCACAGTCAGCTGATCCAATTGGCTGGATCATCCAGCTGTTATTCGTTTTACACCAAAAATGATCATCATTCAGCTCGATCATCTGACTGATTTTTAAAATTTAGGCAAAAAAATTGAAAGTCATCTGACTGATCCAAAATAAATCATTTGGCTGGTTTTTTTAATGTGTCTTTGCAGGTTGGATTCGGTTTCTGGGTATGTGTGTGATCGTGTTAATTAGACTTCCATGTTCACAGATCTGTGATCTTATCAACTTCCATTTTCTATGTGTTACTCACTTTTGTGATGGTTTTGGTTCCGGAAAGAGGACCAGAGAAACTCACTAATACACAGCTTCTGCTTTTCATTGTGAATGTGAACTAGTGATAACCATTTGCAATTGATAGGTGCAAGTCTAATGTTTGAAAATGCTCGTTGAATGTTTGAAGTCTAATGCTCTGTTTAAGCAATTCGATTATGAGTGACATTGCAAATTGAATGTTTGAAATTTGATGCATTTGTGCTGCTCGTTGAAATATATTTGAAGGTCTTCATTTCTCATCTTTGTTTTCAGACCTTGCTTCAATGAACATGCAGATTTCAAGGTCTTCATTTCTCATCTTTGTTGCAATGAATGTGAGATGGATAGTGAAACACCAATGGTTTTGGATTATTGTTGTTGAAATAACTCAGTTTTGGATTATTGTTGCGTTTTCTTCATCTCTATTTAAGAACCCAATGGTTTATGAATTATCAAGTTTTGTTTGAGGTTTTGAGCTGAAATGTGTTACAAAACAAAATAAGGGCATTTTAGTCATTATCCATTATAAGCATTTGGCTGATCCATCTAACTAAGAAAACAAACAAGAGATTCATCTGGCTGATCCATTTGGTTGATCCATCTGGCTGAGAGTAAAAAAAAGTGAATATCATCTGGCTGGATCATCTGTGTGAACCATCTGGCTGGATCATCCAGCTGAATCAGCCAACTGTTCAAACGAACAGGGTCTTAAAAGGTTAGTGTGAGTTAACAACTGAAAGTCTGAAACCGAATGGAAAATTATCATAAATCAAATGGAAACCCAAATGTTTGACACTTTCACTGGAATCAAACACGAATGAAAATTCAAAACTAAAAATGGAAAGAATCACATGTATTGGTCAAGCTGAGTTAAATTTAGCAAATGTTCATGAGATTCGTTCAAAAATCCTGAAATTCCGGCGATTTCCGTCTATACTCCTCTCTGAAGAAGAAAATGAAGCATTCCTTCTCTCTCTCACCCTCCAATTCTCCACAGGAATTCGAAGATGGCGAAACTCGTCGAGACATTTCCTTGCGTTCCCTCCACAGAGCGAGGACGGGGCATTCTGATCTCCGGCGACCCCAAATCCGACTCCATCCTCTACTGCAATGGCCGATCCGTCTTGATTCGGAGCCTCAAAAAACCCGAAGACGTCGAAGTATACGGAGAACATGGTTATGCTGCTACCGTGGCTCGCTACTCCCCCAACGGCGAGTGGATCGCTTCCGCGGATGTCTCCGGTACGGTTCGAGTCTGGGGAACGCACAATGGCTTCGTGCTTAAGAACGAGTTTAGGGTCCTTGCTGGTCGCATCGATGATCTCCAGTGGTCCTCCGATGGGCTTAGGATCGTCGCTTCCGGCGATGGAAAAGGGAAATCGCTTGTTCGTGCCTTCGCGTAAGCTCTCTTCCACTTCTTCATTATATAGATCGATTTGCTGATTTTTCGATTTTTCGATTCAATTTTGAGTAATGTGATTTTGCGTTTTCTTCAATATCTTGCTAACAAATTAGGCCTTAGCTTTAATCATATCCACATTGTGTTACATATGAATACCACATTGTATGTGTAGATGGGACTCTGGGAACACAATGGGAGATTTTGATGGACATTCTCGTAGAGTTCTGAGCTGTGCTTTCAAACCAACGAGACCTTTCCGAATCGCCACATGTGGGGAAGATTTCTTGGTCAACTTCTACGACGGACCACCTTTCAAGTTTCACTCTTCTCACAGGCAAGTTTACTACTGTGATACTGTCTCTGCTCAGTGATATGTCTATGGATTTGCTGAGATATATAAACAGAAGATGTTTTTTAAGATGTTTCTTGACTAATGTCTCTGAGATTTTTTCTCATTCACATTCACAGGGAGCATACCAACTTTGTCAACTGCATCAGATATTCACCTGATGGTAGTAAGTTCATCACCGTAAGCTCGGATAAAAAGGGTATAACTTACGATGGCAAAACCGGAGTTAAGATTGGAGAATTAGCCTCGGAAGATGGTCACAAAGGCAGCATCTACGCTCTTAGCTGGAGCCCTGACAGCAAACGGGTACGTGTGCCAAAACTCGTGTGTTCTTGCAATGTTACTGACATGACATTGATGAGGTTTTGTGTTTTTAGATGCTCACTGTCTCTGCTGATAAGTCTGCCAAGGTATGGGAGATAGCAGAAGACGGAACTGTTGGTTCTGTTGTAAAGACGTTGACGTTTACGGAATCTGGTGGAGCAGAAGACATGCTTGTGGGGTGTCTTTGGCAGAACGATCATCTCATTACGCAGTCTCTTGGCGGCACCATGTCCTTGTACTCTGCGGATGATATGGACAAGCCTCCGTTGCTGTTATCTGGACATATAAAGAACGTGACTTCTTTGGCTGTTATTGGGACAAGCCAGAAGACCATCTTTTCTTGCAGCTATGACGGTCTCATTGTCAAATGGTTACAAGGTATTGGGTACAATTGCAAGTTACAAATGAAAGATAACACCAAGATCAAGCGAATTGCTGCTATTGAATCTGGCCTTCTCTTAACCGGGTTTGATAACAAGGTAAGACATTTCTGATATCAAAACACTTACCCTATGGTATTTGGCATGTGTTTAACATCACATATGGACAGGTCTGGAGGATTCCTTTGACGGATAATGAATTCGGAGCAGCAGAGCATATTGATATCGGACATCAACCTCTGGACATAAGCATAGCCGTTGATTCGCCGGAATACACAGCATTGGTATCGTTTGATTCCGGAGTTGTGTTGCTCAATGGTCTGAACATTTTGAGCAAGAACGATCTTGGATATCCGGTGGCAGCTGCTGTGATCTCACCTGACGGAAGAGAAGCGATTGTAGGAGGACAAGACGGGAAGTTACACGTGTACTCAATCTCAGAGGACAAGAAGAGCGTCAAAGAAGAAGCCGTGCTTGAGAAACACAGAGGTGCTGTGACAGTGATACGTTACTCTCCTGATACGACAATGTTCGCTTCTGGTGACGCCAATCGTGAAGCTGTCGTCTGGGATCGCCAGACCAAACAGGTGACAGACGTTTAGAGGTGTTTAGCTTAATCATCAAATCATTTGGTTAAGCTCGGTTTTAATGTTTTTGCAGGTGAAGCTAAACAACATGTTGTTCCACACGGCTCGTATAAACTCTTTGGCATGGTCACCGAACAACACTATGGTAGCCACTGGTTCCATTGACACTTGCGTCATTGTGTATGAAGTGGACAAGCCAGCTTCGAGTCGCATCACCGTCAGAAACGCTCATCTTGGCGGAGTTAACGCAGTGGCCTTTGTCGATGAACGTACCGTCGCAAGTTCCGGTGAAGACGCTTCGGTTCGTTTGTGGAATATCGAACCTCAATGACCCAAACCATAATTGTTATAAGCTCTTTTTAATACCACCATCCATTTTAATTTTTGAAATTTTGTAGTCTCTACTTAAATTTAACAGTGCCTTGTTTTATATGACTGTGTTAAGCTAAGTATTTTAATCTTATCATGGAACGCACACGTGTCCGAAATCTAACGATTCTATCTGGTCAATGCAAGTTACATACGGTTACTCAGTCGTGTTGATTAGTAGGCTAATTAAGTATTTAAGTGAAAATTTAAACAATGGTTAAAATAATTAGAGGGAAGAGATAATGTTTTGGAGCCTTGAGTGGTTCACTTTACTTCGTACGGATTTGAAGCTTAACCTCACCGGAGCATCCAAGGAGAAGACGACACCACAAGTGGTGGTATACAAAAGTTATGGCGCCTTTTGGCGGGAAATCTTTAGTTGACGCTGTTTCTGGCATCGGAGGCAATGGAGTTGGCCGGGTTCTGGCCGCGGTGGCTGCCGCTATGTTGGTCCGCTTGTTTTCAGGACCCGGCATCGCCCTTTTACCCGAAAACGACGCCGACGGTGATTTCTCTGAGACGGAAGGATCAGGAGGAGAGGAAGACGGAGAGTCGTCTCCGGGGAAAGTTCGCCCAGTGACGATACGGTGGAGGAACATCACGTGCTCGCTCTCCGATAAGACCTCCAAATCGGTGAGGACATTTGTTTTCCTTGCATGTTTCGATTGCGCAGAAAACGCGATTTATCCATTTGCCGAATCAGAATTGCTTGATTATGTGACTCTCTCAGGTGCGGTTTTTGCTGAAAAATGTCACCGGGGAAGCAAAACCTGGGAGATTGCTAGCGATAATGGGACCTTCTGGATCTGGGAAAACAACATTGCTCAATGTTCTAGCTGGACGGCTTAGTTCATCACCACGTTTGCATTTGTCAGGTCTCTTGGAGCTCAATGGGAAACGGAGCACAAGCAAAGCTTATAAGTAAATGTCCTATGAGTTATTATACAAAGTGTGTATTTTAGGTGAAAAATCTGATCATTTGTTTGACAGAGTTTTCTTGCAACTGGCAGGATTGCGTTTGTGAGACAGGAGGATCTCTTCTTCTCGCAGTTGACTGTGAGGGAAACGCTTTCTTTCGCAGCGGAGCTTCAGCTCCCGGAGATCTCTTCTCCTGAGGAGAGGGATGAGTATGTGAACAACCTCTTGTTCAAACTTGGTCTGGTGAGGCTTTTCATTCATCTCTGCATTTTGGTATATCAAAATCCTGAAATCTCCTTCTTGATTATCTATTTGTGGCTCTCCCAAAAGGTCAGTTGTGCAGATTCATGTGTTGGTGATGCAAAAGTTCGTGGGATCAGCGGTGGAGAAAAGAAGAGGCTGTCACTTGCATGTGAATTGATCGCTAGTCCGTCTATCATATTTGCTGATGAACCAACAACCGGTAGATTCTTAGTCTGTCACTCTGTCTACTTCTAAACAGTAATGGATTGGTTTTAACGCTGATGAGATATTCGTGTGGACTTCAGGGCTTGACGCCTTCCAGGCTGAGCAAGTGATGGAGACGTTGCGGAAGCTTGCAGAGGATGGACACACTGTGATCTGCTCCATACACCAGCCTAGAGGTTCGGTGTATGCTAAATTTGACGACGTTGTGTTACTCACAGAAGGAGTTTTAGTCTATGCCGGCCCTGCAGGGAAAGAGCCTCTGACATATTTCGGGAACTTCGGGTTGTTTTTCTGAACATTTCACATGTCCCCATTTAGTATGTGCTTTAGGATTTGCCACTGACAGTTCTTCGCATCCTTGAACAGGTTTCTTTGCCCAGAGCACGTAAATCCTGCTGAGTTTCTAGCTGATCTTATATCAGTTGACTATAGCTCTTCGGAGAGTGTCTACTCTTCGCAGAAGAGAGTACATGCTCTTGTTGATGCGTTCTCTAAGCGTTCATCGTCGATTCTGTATGCCACTCCCCTCGGCATAAAAGAAGAAACGAAGAACAGCATGAGACCTCGCAGGAAAGCCATTGTTGAGAGAAAAGATGGTTGGTGGAGGCAGTTTTTCTTGCTGCTTAAGCGTGCATGGATGCAGGTATCCTCCGATTTATGCATGATCTAAAGAAACGGTTTAAGAAGTAGCATGACATTTACATACGAAAGAAGACACCTTGAGAAAGAGACATATGGGAGATTCTTTGACATTTTCTTGAGAATTTTGTGTTTCTTGAAAATTTCCATTGGCAACTAGGTATCATAGAAGGTTAACTTGAGCAGTTTGTCTGATTGACTTGTTCATTTGACTCCATAGGCTTCTCGAGATGGGCCAACAAACAAAGTCCGAGCAAGAATGTCTGTTGCATCTGCTCTGATATTTGGATCCGTTTTCTGGAGAATGGGCAAGTCTCAGACGTCAATTCAGGATAGAATGGGTTTGCTTCAGGTATAACTTTTTTTGCTTTTGCTCTGTACATCTCTCTTTCTCTGCGTTTTTTAAAATATTACGTAGCCTGTATATGCTGAGTATTGATCTCTGTGTTCTTCAGGTTGCTGCAATAAACACGGCAATGGCAGCTCTCACAAAGACAGTAGGTGTCTTTCCTAAAGAGCGTGCCATTGTTGATAGAGAGCGGTCCAAAGGGTCTTACTCTTTAGGCCCTTACCTGCTCTCCAAAACAATAGCTGAAATCCCCATTGGAGCTGCGTTTCCTTTAATGTTTGGTGCTGTACTATACCCCATGGCTCGTCTAAATCCCACTTTGTCAAGGTAATTCCTATATTTTCATCATTTGCTATTCATGTGGTAAATGTCATGCATAAGCCTTAATCTGCATCGCACTGATATTTGACCAACCAATGATATTTGACATTAACGTCCATAACAAAGAAATTTCTTGCCAGATTTGGAAAGTTTTGTGGGATAGTGACAGTGGAGTCTTTTGCTGCTTCAGCGATGGGTCTAACTGTTGGGGCTATGGTCCCAAGCACAGAAGCTGCAATGGCTGTGGGACCATCTCTCATGACAGTTTTCATCGTCTTTGGAGGTTACTACGTCAATGCAGACAACACCCCAATCATCTTCCGTTGGATCCCTCGCGCTTCATTGATCAGATGGTGACCCACCTCATCCCAAATTACTATACATCATCTATATTTATCTCTCTTAACACCCACGCGTCCTTGTTCAGGGCCTTCCAAGGACTCTGCATCAACGAATTCAGCGGCCTCAAGTTTGATCATCAGAACACATTCGACGTCCAAACCGGAGAACAGGTAACATCTTGTTTCATGTTTCTATCAAAACCCCATGTTGTCCCTGTCTTTGAGGTCATCGGAGATTAAAATGTTTCTTTTGCAGGCGCTAGAACGACTGTCGTTTGAAGGAAGCAGGATAAGGGAGACGATAGGAGCTCAAAGCCGGATTCTGATGTTCTGGTATTGCACTACGTACCTTCTACTGGAGAAGAACAAACCAAAGTATCAAAAGCTTGAGCTTCTTCTTGACAATGGAGATGCTGAGAATCCAGGAGTGCTGCTGGAGCCTCTGGATGAAGCAGAGGCTGATCAAGCTGAGGAGGAGCCTGAAGATGATATCAAGCAGCCACTTGACGATCAAAGTCAAACATCGTCATCATCATCGGAGGATCTTGATGAAATCCGTCCTTTTGTCCTCGAAGGTTTGTAAAACTGTAATAATTACTAATCACACCATCTTTTGGGGCATTTTATCCCAAAAAGGAAGATCTGTATACACATTTGTGGGTATATAACTTGTTATAGTGAATAAATAAATTTGGGCTTTGTGGTGATTACGGATTCATCTCAACTTTCCAGCAGGTAGCGAGTGAGATAGAAACGGAGTCGAGTTGCTCTTAAAAAGGCTTTCGGATTTGAATAAAAGAGCTCTTACCTCTCTCTCTGCCTTAAACCCAATGTAAGACCCCATCATCTTAATTTTTATTAGACTTCTTCAACTCTTTTGACTTAACCACTTGTGTCAACTCTTGTTTTATCCACAAATTTTGGCTCTATTATAATTTTATTAAAGATCTATGTGAAGAAAAAGTCCATTGCAGTGACCTTCAAATAAATTGTGAAGAAGAAGGAAAGAACGAACATACATGATACATCATACATGTGTTATGTTCGGAACATTGAACATTTCCTGAAAACTGCAGACTCAACATTGAAAGAAAAAAATGCAAAACTCAAAGTGGTTACGTCTGAAGATTCCAATCCAACCAACTCATATTAGCTCTTTGATTAAACTAATAACCGAACTCATGCAAAACTCATATTAGCTGCTTGCTTGACACGTCAGCGCTGGGAGAGATGGCCACGTGGCAGTCTCACAGATTTTCTCAATTAATCGACGCTTTTTCTCAAATTCTTTTACGTCGCTTCATTTCATCTCTTCTACCTCTCCTCCGCCATTTCAGATCTTCGTTCTCAATCGTTACCTTACTCTAAATCCTATCCAATCTCACCAACCAACTATGTTATACGACTGTATTGGGAGGGACAATTCTTCGTGATTGGTTAAAGGAAATATGTTTATACAGATTTGGGTTGCTTCGATTGGATTTTGGTTATGTGGTAAAAGGCAAAAAAAATTGCACAGATTCACTATCGATGATAATGACCTCTCTGTACGAATAAGGTGGCGCTGATGCCGGTTCTCGCGAGAAGGGATATGTGTTTGCCTCGGTTGCATGTTCCATTTGTTCCGAGATGCTAATCTAAACACCGCAATCGATCCTCGGTGTGGCTTTTTTCAACATATTCTTCTCCCCAAGTTCGCTGTCATTCTTCCACACCCACCAATGGTCGTCCTCTCAACCACAGGTTCGTCTCCACATCGTCTACATTCTGATTTCTAAAGTATTTTTTTTTGTGATCTCAAATTGCTGTTTGATGTATTTGGCAAGAATGGTGCTCTTTGGTAATTTATATATGAGATTTTTTTAGGGGCTTTATAGAAAAATGATATGATTGTTGGTTTTTAATGTGGACTTTTTATCAATAAGCGTACTTTTTAAAGAACTTTCGTTCGATTGTTGATTTTTCTTTGGCACTTAGGTGTTCATCACTTAGGTGTTCTCTGTTCCAATATAGATAACTTTGATCATGATCAATCTTCTGGTCGTCCTCTAACTTCATGCTTTCGATAAAAAGCAAGTTGCTATGAAACCTGACAATACAGTGGATATTTCTGAAACGAATCAGGGGAATATTAGTATGTGGGATGTGCAAAGCAGGGGTCAAGATTGATTGGCTTTGATTACATTGAAACGAAACAGGGGAATATTAGTATGTTGATTTTACAATTTCTGTGTGCAGAGAGGATATACGTGGGGAAAGAGGACAACCTGCAGAGAAATCATCCTCCTTATATGTGCTGTCATGGAGGGAGCTCAGTATGTATAATCCAAGTGACTGGGTATGTCAGGGTTTCATATTTCAAGTACATCTCTTCACCACGAACGGGTAAACATGTGATTTTGATGTATAGAATATAGCTTATATCTGAATCAAATTCCATATATTTTTTGACTTTCATTATGGTCAATCAACATAATTATTTGCTGCAAGCAAGAACTGAGTTAATCTCAATGATAAAATTTACTACTGTGCTTGAATTAGCATATGATAGGAGTATAAACAAAGTTCTGGAATCTTGGTTTTAACTTTGTAGTTAGTCGAAGGCTAAGGGGACACTGTTTTGATGTTTGAAGGCTCGCCTATGGAGAGGTCGCAGACTGAAATTTTTTCTCCCCCTGTCGTCTTTCCAAAGACGAACAGTTTTAATTTGTCCAAATCAGTAAGTCTTCCCTAAGTATTGAGACTGAGAAATGATATCTTGTATTTGTAGATGGTATGTTCGATTTGTTTCCTTCATTCTTTTGCTAAATAGTTGCAAGAGCCATCGAGATTTATGGGCAAGAAAAACTGAAACTTTTTGAAAAAAGTTCTTAAATTTGGTCCGTCATTTGATACGGTGTTATGTTATACATTTGTGAGAATTTGGGAGGTTTAGTGAGCTTATGAGGTGTGATATCTTTGGGATGATCCGTTAATTGAGTAGATGGAATGTGAAATAGAGAAAGATTTGTGTTTGCGATGAAGAAGACAAAGATATTGAAAGAGGAAGCCTTTATTAGCTTATTTTATGTGTAAATTCAGCTGAAAAACAAAGCTGGCACTTTTTTGTTTCTGATTTGTATGATCTTCCTGAGTCCTGACTGTAGTCAAGTAGTTGGAATGAGTGAATAGAGAAAGCTGTGTTTTTCAATCTTTGAAGGATCTAAATAAGTTCATTCTTGTCATGCAGCCGGACAAAGCAGAGGTTTAGTATACAGTTTCACAAAAACCAAATTTTCTATTTGTATAGTTTCGAACAAGGAGATGATGAGGTTCAAAGAGCTATTACTGTAAATCCTGTCTTAAAGAAGGAAATGAAACAACCTTTTTTCTCTTTTTCCTGATTTCAAGTTTGCTTCTTCACTGGATCTGGCCATGCCCATAATATCTGTTACTTTCTTTTAGTTTTTTGAAACATTTGTGTGTGGCTGCATCAATCAGGAGAAAGAGGCAAAGAAAGAAGCTTTCAGGAAGTATTTAGAGTCCAGTGGAGTTCTTGATTCTCTCACCGAAGGTATAGTTTCTTTTTCTGTTTTCCAGCATTACTGAATCTATTTCGACAGTTTCTTTATCGAATAATTTGATCTGTTCTGACGAATAATTCGATGTGTTTTGAATATAGTTCTGGTTGCTTTGTATGAGCAGAATGACAAGCCCTCCTCTGCTTTAGAGTAAGTCTGTATTTTGATTTCTAAAAACGTATCATAGAATCTCTATAAAAAATAGTTTGTGTAGTGACTTAGAATCTTGAATCCACCTATGCTCACTTACTTGATCTTCTTTATTTCTTCTTCAGATTTATTCAACAAAACCTAGGTGGTCCTTCTGTCTCTGAGTATGAGAGGCTTCAAGCTGAGAAGTCTGATCTTCAAATAATACAATTTTTTTGGCTAAACGTCAGGAAACTCTTAGAGAGGTAAACTTGAATTGAAAATCGTATCATATTGATCCATCTATAGTTTGATTAGCACATGAGTCCATGCTTCCGTGTAGCTCCTTAACATTGGCTTTACAATAAGCTTTCTTCACTATGCATAATCTTCAACAATTTGACTCTTCCTTTATAAACTGAAGTTTTTAAATGTGATTGGCATACTCTGTTTATGGTTTAATGTTGCAGTTAGATGGAGTGAAGAGCTTGCAGTCAAGAAACCTTCGAAAGAAGATGAAGACAGAGAGGCCATTGAAGACGAGCACACAACCCTTGCGAATCCTCATCACCACTAAAATTGTCTATTTACTGTATATGCAATGCTCATTGCTACATTTTGTATCTCCATTATTGCTATTGTCAGTGTCATTTTGGCTGATTAAGGCATAAACAAAAACAAAAACAAAAAGCGCATTCAAAAATGGAAAAATGATAAACTTGACCAAAGAAAAAACATTGAATAACAAAACAAAATAATGTCAATTTGCGGATCGTTCAATTCTAAATATGAATAACTTGACCAAAAGCTAATTTGTACTAATTTATACTATTGAATGGTAGGTATTTATCACAAAGATAGCCGTAGACAGGAGATATAACTGCAAGAAATGAAGGCATACAGAAGATGAAGAAATAAAAAGGAGCAATAAATAGAAGAAAGTAAGGAACTCGTGAAAGTCCATGAACAGAAAGCTTTACTTACTGATAAGTGTATTCTTTACCAAAATTCATCATGATTTAAGTATGACAAAGAGAGAAACAAAAAAAATATGACAAAGGACTCTGACTTTAAGGGTTCTTCTTATGTTATGTTCATTGTTTTGATTAAATGGGATAAAATTTCCATAATATTAAAAATTAATGTATAAATATTATGATATATAGTCTATAATTAGTTAAACTTTATATTTTAGACCAAGATTCTAATAATTTTATCATAATACTTTATATAAAAATCATGCGCATAGCCCATATTATAATTTTATTTTACTTCATATAGTCTCTCTTTCAAGGACCTTTTTTTGGCAAACCAACATATTGTGGCCAAATAAATACAGCCATGTAAGAAGGCCTAATATTTCTATTTCTATTTTCAAATAAAACAAGAACCACTCAAATGTGAAGTAAATAAATAATCCGGCTAATAACTCCATACACACGACCTGAGAAAATTGTTTTTCGAGTTTAGAGTTTGAGTAACCAAAACTAACATGATAGACAATTTATTCAATGCGTATATAACTTCTTACTATATTATCACTAGGGGTGTCAAAATGGATCCAAATCCATGGATTGACCCAATCCATCTTATCCATTAATCCAAATGGATTAAAAATTTGGATCCAAATGGGTTAATGGTTCACATGGGTGATGGATTAATTGGATTGGATTGAAATGGTTTGGTTTATAATGGGTTGGATCAATGGTTAACCCACATTATTAAAAAAGAAAAAAACAGTTATACATCAAATGTTTTTTCCCACATAATAAATCCAAAATTGTATTTGGTTGGATTTGAATACAATACCATAAAAGAATGATCTTACAAATTTGACAAAAAAAAACGATTTTACAATTTTGGTATAAATCGCAAAATCACAGTTTTCCGCCAAGGTTTCCCACCAAAACCGCAAAATCACGAGTTTCCCGCCAAAATCGCAAATATCACGGTTTCCCGCCAAAATCAAAATCATGTTTCCCGCCAAAACCGCAAAATCACGAGTTTCCCGCCAAAACCGCAAAATCACGGTTTCCCGCCAAAACCGCAAAATCACGAGTTTCCCGCCAAAACCGCAAAATCACGGTTTCCCGCCAAAACCGCAAAATCACGAGTTTCCCGCCAAAACGCAAAATCACGAGTTTCCCGCCAAAATCGCAAAATCACGAGTTTCCCGCCAAAATCGCAAAATCACGAGTTTCCCGCCAAAATCGCAAAATCACGGTTTCCCGCCAAAATCGCAAAATCACGAGTTTCCCGCCAAAACGCAAAATCACGGTTTCCCGCCAAAATCGCAAAATCACGTTTCCCGCCAAAATCGCAAAATCACGGTTTCCCGCCAAAATTGCAAAATCACGTTTCCCGCCAAAACCGCAAAATCACGGTTTCCCGCCAAAACCGCAAAATCACAGTTTTCCCGCCAAAACCGCAAAATCACGGGTTTCCCGCCAAAACCGCAAAATCACGGTTTCCCGCCAAAACCGCAAAATCACGGTTTTCTATCAAAACCGCAAAATCAAGGTTTTCCGCATAACCGCAAAACATGGTTTTTGGGGAAAGTTGTGATTTTATGTTTTGATGGAAAAACTGATTTTTACGGTTTTGGTTGAAAAACGTGATTTTACAGTTTAGGGAGAAAGACGTGATTTTACTGTTTTGTGCATAAATCACAATTTTACGTTGCAAAAAACAGTGAGTTTATGTTTTTGACGGAAACGTGGTTCTACGGTTTTGATGAAAAATCGTGTTTTGCGATTTTACGGTTTCGGCGGAAAGATGTGATTTACGATTTTGGCGGAAAGACATGATTTTACGATTTTACAGATTTAGATTTAATGGGTTATAGATTTTTGTGATGTTTATAGATTTTGTTTAGTTATCTTTATTTTAATATATATAAATTTTTAGTTATATTTGTTTGTGGATCATCCATTAACCCATTCATCCATTAACCCATTAAAACCATCTAATTAAATGGATAATGGATCAAACCAACCCATTTCCTAAATGGATTGGATTAATCCATGATCCATTAGCACTAAATCCACTTGGATAATGGGTTGATGGTTGGATTATTTATTTTGACACCCCTAATTATCACCGGTAGGATAACTGATAAATAAAAACACACATGTTAGAGTTTCAAGAAATGCACTAACATGACAATGAAAATAAACATAGAGGCAAAGTTGAATATATATTATCAACATAACGCCATATATTGTCACCAGCTCTATGTATGATCTAAGACTTAGCCCTCTTAGTTTCACTTATATGAGACTTTATATCATTTATACAGTTTTACCAAATCTACTTGAAAAGATTATCATATATTTTTTTTTTTTCAAAAACAAACTGTACAATAAAAAAAAATAACAAAAATTAACAATACCGCCCGCGCTTTCAACCTAGTTATAATCAAACAAGCAAATGAGATAATAATATATAAGAGCCGCCCATTGGGAGAAAGTCAAACACCCCCCATTCGGTACGTGAGTGGACGTGGCGTCCGGTCCAAACATCCTCGTATCTTGCGTTGCCTTCAGATTGTTCTTTCTATCTCTGTAATGAAGTATAAGCGTATAATTAAAAAGGTCACCGACTTGTACGCTTTTTCAATTGCAATTACATAAACAAATGGGGAGGTCAATTCTGTTATAAGGAATTGATATAATACAGTAGAGTAATATATTGAATTGCTTAAAGAAAATAAGCCAAAAGTATATGTGCATTACTAATGGAGGTTCTTAATTTCACAACACTTTCCAATTGCCGCGTCTCCCAAACCAGCAAGCTAAAGAGAGTTAACGTACCGTAGGAGTTTTCACAATGCATCGATTGTACAACTTGTCTATACATCCTCATCACCTTTCTTTTAACATTGCCTTATCTTAACTACTTGCTCGTTAACTCACATGAGTAGATTGTCCACAGATCATAGATTGAATTTATATATCAAAAGTTTGCCTCAGTTCCGTTAGCCGGATCTCATAAACAAAACATAGGTCAAATGTGTATACAAATTGAGCAGAATCTGTTTCTTAAATCCATAGATATATACCAAGTTGGTGAATAGTTAAAGACGTGTAAGCAGTTTTAAATAGAATCATCACCGAAAATCTTCATAATCAAGAAACAGAGATGGAATTGAAAATGACGTGGAAGAGAAGCAAAGTGGGTCCCGTTGCGTTTATCAAACCGGAAATTGGCAACGCGCTAATCAATAATAATCATTTAAATTTTTATATTTGGTTATAAATACATTTCCACTTGTCTCTCATCTTCTCCAACCAACAACAATCTACTACTTTCAAAATTCCAAAAATCATAAAACAGTTATATAGTTCCCATCTCAGAACAATGGAAGCTACACTGATAATTTCTTCGCCGGCGGCTTCGATTTCACCACTCCGATTCCATCCATTGGTGCTTACACAAAAAACATCCTCGGGAACGCAGAAGAATAATAAGAAGACGATGAGCGTCTCTGCTGCCGCGTCTTCTGGGAAAGACCATTACTACGGCGGAGGAAGGTTAGTGGACGAGAACATGATCGTCCTGAGGAGAAGGATCCACGAGACGAAGATGGTGGAGAGAAACTACGAGCCTCCTTCTCACTGGATGGATTGGGAGAAGCGTTTCTACAGCAGCTACGACTCTGTTATCTGCGATTCCGTTGGTCTTCTCCAGAGTTTCCTCATGAATTCTCGCCCCACCGTCGCAATCGCAACGCTGATTCTCCTCCTCGTCAGCGTTCCCGTTTCCTCCTCCGTTTTCGCGTTTCGCCTTCTTGACTTCCTTCATTGGGTTCTCGCCGCCGCAACATCAGGCCACATGAGCTGATTTATCTGCTCGGCCCATTTTACTACTTTTGCCACACATATTCTTTTATTTATTGCTTCTGTAGTTTGTATATATAACCATATTCTATTCTTTCATTATTTATTTGATTCTTTACATAGCTTAAGCCTTAAGATATGTTGTATAAGGTTTAGTTATTTACTCTTTGTAATTTTTCTTTCATATGTTAATGTGATCTAAGAAAAACTAGTGCATTCTTTTTTCTTTTGGACAACTAAATAGTGCATTCATGTCACAGAAACATTGACCTGACCGTATATTATCTTAGTTTGTTGTTATGCGATTATGCCCATCCACTTTCAACTTTTAAACTGTATAAATCTACTCCCTCCGTTTCTCGGTTTCTTTATGATGAATTTTCTAACAATTTTCTGTTGTTTCATAAAAATAAATCTTTTTACTTTTTGATTCACTTTTTCAGATTTCAAGAAACAATAATTATATTTTTTAGATTTTGATTGGTTTAAAGTTATAGGAAACATTGTAATTACAAAAATCAATACAGTTATGATTGAAAAGCAATTTTTTCTTAATAGGCCTTAACTGGTAGAGTTTTTAGAAGAGCATTAAACTCTTTTTCATCCAATCAACTTTTTTTAAAAGAGCATTTAGGAAAACATTTAGAAACTGCTACTGCTCCCAAACTGCTCTTTCCCTCCCTGCTCTGAAATGGAGCATTTCCAAAGCATTGAGCTCAAAAATATTTAAAAAATCTTAAATAAATTATATTTAATATATTTATTTTGGTAAAAAAATGAAACTATATTTATATCAAATTTACAATTTTATAATTTCGTAAATTAACATTAACAATAATGTATTATTCATAAAATAAATATTTAATGACATAAAAATTAAATAAATATAATTTAAATATGAAATAGTTACTAAATATTTTTTAAAAAATAAAAAACAATCTTATGTTATTAATGAAAATATATATGATGTATTAAAATAAATATCAATATACATATTAAATAATTTCACAAAAAAAATATAATAAAAAGGCTCACAGCTCTACCAATCATATAAATTAAGAACATGCAGTTTCAAAAGCTTAATGCTCTTCTAAATACTCACCCTGCTTATACTCCTTAAGCCTAATGCTCTTCTAACTGCTTTGCCATTCAAGGCCTAAGTGTGAAAAAAAACTAGAAAATTGATCTTAAAAAAAACAGAGAGGTATAATTTTGTGATAACTTCATTTCATTTCCTGATCTGTTTTCCCTTTTCAGAAGTGAAGTGAACAATCGGTTGCTATTTTTTTGGCCCAACAACTTTTGCCTGACCAACATATTCTTATTTATTTGTTCTTAAACTTAAATCTTATGAAATCATATTCTTACCCCAAAATATGCAATGTTATAAATCTTACCCATGAATGCCACTATAATCTTTGTAAGAATATTTATATTCTTATGTGTGACCTATGTGTTTTTCAGTTTAATATAAAGATCAAGTTCTTATAGTTAATGATTCTAATATAAAAGATGATTCCATGATGGATTGGTTTCAATGAAAGACATTAGAATCTGGGTGTATTGATAACCCTTTTCCCTTACCCTATAATGTTATAAACATCTTTCTCTAATGGTCATGTGTATTATATATATGATTAACTATATATATTAATACATGTGAGAAAGGATGTGTTGAATGGTCGTGAGGTTACGTACGTAACCGTTGGTGCATGTGTTTCTATTATGTATATAAGAGATCTCAGAATTAAGAGACAAGAACAACAACAATCACAGACACACACCATACAACACTCGTATAAGAAAAGTCAAAGAGAGATTAAGGTTTGGATCCCTTGTCCATCAAAAGGGATCAGAAGGAGAAAGGGTCAAAGGGAGGAGAAGATCAATTGAAGTATTGATCTCACAACAAGACAGAAGAAAGCATGGATCAAGGTTAGTGTTTCTTTCTTCTTCTCTAAGAAACTGTTAGGGTTGGATTATATCAAATCTAGATTATCTTGGGATAGATTTCATATGTGATAGAAATCATTAAAGTGGTTTACAATTGGTATCAGAGCCATCTAGATTTGTTTAGTCCACCGTTGAGTTATTTTCTCTTGATCGTGAATTGTTACGGTATGAACGGAACTCGTAAACGTAGTCTCGTAATGGAATTCTCTGAGAATTAGAAATTAAAGTTACGTTTGTGGAATAAACTGGAGTAATATATATTATTATGCATCGCATGACATTTGAACAAGTACGTGAATTGTTTTCTCTTGTTCTGGAATTTTGTCGGTTAATATGCATGCATGAACCGGTGCTTCTCTTTACATATTCTGGATTTTTAAATGACATGTATGCGCTCATGTAAGATTGAGTGTTCGTCTTTATAAATTCTGGAATTTGTTATTTTCTGGTGACGGTTGATTCTGGAATGAAAGAGAAGTACATAATATAACCATATGGAATCCACGAACTAAGGCAATATCATATATAAATTAAGGTTTTAAGCGTATATGAGTGAATTGGTTTAACCGTTGGTCTGGTTAATAGATTTGCTATCTATGTTTTTAAGGACACGCTTAAAATTTGTATGATATTATATTGGTTTAGAATAGTATATAAGAATTTAGTTCTATAATTGCTTCCGCTGTGCATTTAAAGGGAACTAATGTGTTATGCAGTATTAACATTGTACAGTTAAGTTACCATTAAAGATTTAATATTTATATTGTTTATAACATGTTAGTCATCAAAGTGGCCTTGTTATTTACATATAGATGTTAAATATAATTAAATGTACTAATTGATCATGATTAAAGAGATGCTATAAATGACATAAAAGTTTTGATTGATCAATTGTTTTTACTATCTATACTCTAGGAGATTACCCAAAGGTAGATCATTGATTATAGTTAGTAATATGAATAGGATTAATCTTTTCTTACTATAGTCAATAGTATGTATTACCCAAAGGTGGCATTCTTATTTGATTTGTGTATGATTTGATTAATTAAAATGGTATAAATCTAGCATCGCTGAAAGTGTGTATGTGTTTAAGTATTGCCCAAAGGTTGCTTAGATTCATACTATTAAGTTTCCATTATGATTATGAATCTGTATTAAAGTTTCAAAGCACTAATGGTTAAGCATGTATTAATGCTTGCAGCTTCATCAAGTTTGTTTGCATCTGCTAACTCTGTCGTGAAGTTTAATGGGCTCAATTATGGGGAATGGTCTGAACAGATCTGGTTTACACTGGGTGTTATGGCATTGGACTCTGCCATACTAACAGATGATGAGCCTGCAGCCATTATAGAAGAAAGCTCTGAAGCTGAAAAATCTCGGTTTGAGAGATGGGAGCGATCTAACAGGCTGAGCTTGAACCTCATGAGGATGACGATGGCAGAAAGTATAAAGCCATCTATGCCTAAGACAGAGAAAGCAAGGGAATTCTTACAGAAAATTAAGGAGTGTTCACAATCGGATTTGGCTGACAAGTCTATTGTAGGAAGCTTAATGAATGAGCTAACTACAAGAAAGTTTGACTGGTCTCAGCCAATCCATGATCATGTGACACACATGTCTAACTTGGCAGCAAAGTTATCGACCCTAGGAATGGAAGTGAATGAGCATTTCTTGGTCCAATTCATCATGAACTCTCTGCCTTTTGAGTTTAGCCAGTTCCAGGTGAACTACAACACCATTAAAGACAAATGGAACTTTAAGGAGTTAAAGGCTATGCTGGTTCAAGAGGAAGGGAGATTAAAGAAGATGAGAGACCATGTTGCTAATTTCGTGGGTCATGGAAGTGCCAGCAGCAGCAAAGGAAAACTGAGTAAAATGGGTAAAAAGAAGGATAAGACTTTCATGAAGGGACCTGAGAGTCAAATCCAGAAGGAGAGGAAGTGTTTCTTCTGCAAGCAAGTGGGACACTTCAAGAAAGATTGCCCTAAAAGAAAGGCATGGTTCGATAAGAAAGGTAAACATCACAGTTTCGTTTGCTCTGAATTGAACCTTATAGAAGTGCCTAATAATACTTGGTGGCTAGATTCTGGTGCAACTACTCATGTGTCTCATATTAAACAGGGATTCAGTTCGATCCAGCCTATAAGAGGACCCACTACAGGAAAAAAGTTTATTAATAACATCCGAAAAACGCTATCTGACGATACGATAGCGTTTTGACAAGCGCTTTATCATCGCCCGTCATTGTAGGTCTGAGACTTTAGATAGCGTTTTTTCGTACTGCTATCGTATTTTCGTTTATAATAGCGGCGTCTAGTTTGCTATTAAATATGTTTTGACAGCGTTTTAAAAGAGTTATTAATATATTATTTACAGCGTTTATTAGTTGTTATTATTGTCTTTTTTATAGCGTTTTTAAATGTGTTATTATTTCTCCGAGTTTTACAACAGCAATTGTTAAAACGTAATAGTAAAGTGCAAATGCAAAGAACTTTTCATCCGATTTTGTCACCTCATTTGCTATTACTGGTATCGTGTTCACCTGATAATTTGCTTCGAAAATGTAGTAGCAATATTAAAAGTACTCAATTATATTGATAATGTCACAAACATACATAGGTTCATCGAAAGAGTCTCATCACACTTTAATCTAAAGACACATGTCTTACAACAAGATAAGTTTGTCATTTGGCCAAGCCACTGTGGTTCCTACTGCATCACTTACAAATGTAACCTCTGAATTTGGTTTCCAAACTTTTGCGTTATCAACCTTTGAAACTTCTACCCAAACCTTGCTTGCATTCAAACCTAAAGGGACGAAATGTACCTTCTCCGCTGGATCAGTGGAAGAAACACGCCCTACTGCAACATGCTCACCAGAGCCATTACAATCTAGTAGAATGCACTTCTGTTTTGCACCTTTGCTATTACCAGTGCTAGTGCTACCACTCTACAAGTCAAATTGTAAACGCATTCATCAGAAGAACATCAATCTCAAATAACCAAATATTAGTGTAACTGAACTATGAGTATCAGAAACTCACCGGAGGTGACTTCTTGGTTGACTCCTCTGGTGTAGATACACTCGCCAAGTGTATCATCTTAATAGGCCATACAATGTTCTGACTCAAAGCATCTCCCATCAAGGATATTTTTTCAGTAAGCCTCCATAAATAAGCAACAGGATTTACCACCACATTGACTTTCACAAGTGCAACATTTGGCCCCAAAGGAACATGGTTCACAATTTTTTTTGGATCAGTTGACAACAATACACCCTCAACAATCATGTCATTCTCGTCATTCCAATCAAAAATTTGAACTCTTTCTACTGATTGATCTGCTGCCTAAATAGCCATATAAATCAAATACAACATACTATGTAAGAATGCACACCACTAAAGCATGATAATAATACTATTTCGGAATGAAATTTACCTCCGATCCTACAGTGTTGGGAGGTTTGGATGGGTTCATGTCATTGTCCAAGATTATCTTATCAGATGGCCATGCGATTTTTATTCCGACAGCTTGACCTAGTGCGACAATGGTTTGAGAAGGCCTCCACACACACACTTCTACAACCGATGCAGACTTCACAGTGACCGCTGTCGCGTTAGGACCTAACGGAATTCGACCAATTTTATAGCTTGGCTCACTAGAGCAGAATTCACCTTCCCCAATAACAACATCGTCTGTTGCATACCAATCCAATAGCTGGCACCTAATTCCACCTTTGCTAATGTCTCTAAACTCAGACGTTGAATCTTCATCATTCTGTCTCTGTCAAGTCAGAAAATTATTACCCTCACACAATTTAATTATAATCTCAACATATTTGACCTTACTAGTACACGAGATGAGGATAAGAGATGTGGAAATTACCTTTTTAGCAGCTAAGTCACTAACCACATTTCGTAGTTCTTCAAGTTGAGTAAGTAACTCTGCTTGAGTTGCTTCAAGCTTCTGCACATGCGAGTCCCTGGCCTGTAAGAAAGCCAGCTTTGTAACCGTTGCCCCTCGTCCCATTCCCCTTAGCCTTCCTGGTCTGTCTATGCCTAATACCTGACTAACAACATCTTCTCTAATATTATCAGTCGATGTGGAGTCCATTTCACTGTCAATTGACTTGATTTGTTCTTGTGTTTCAGATGGCGGGTGAGTATTGAGTAGGAGTGATATAAATATATTGAGAAAATAAAATAAGTAAGAGTTTTTTTATCAATCTTACAATGGTATCTGCAAATTCTTCCCTCACAGGTCTGCCATCTGAATGTGTGTGACCTGCCACCCAAACCTTGCTTCTGGTAATTTTCTTAGGATCAGCTGAGTTTTTTTTTCTATAAATTCATCACAATTATAGTCATATTAATATTCCAGTTTACAATACGAGCTACTCAGACCAATATATAAATACATGGCTACACAATACGTACCATCTCGTGAGCTAGGCGAGTCATTCCTTTATGGCTTGTTGTGTGAGGAATTTGACCTTTCCTCAGTTGCCTATAATGATCACTTTGTTCCTGTTGACAAGGTTTGGAGATTGAAAGAAATTAGGATGCAGTACATTTGGTATTATAGAGATAAAACTAAGACAAATTGCATAAGACTTAAACCGTAAAAGCTTCACTTGTTTTTCTTTTCACCCAAGCGTTCCATGCAGCTGTAGATTGTATGTTGCTTGGCTTCAAGTTCTGTAGCTGAGACTTACATTTTGTGGCACGATCAAGTGTCACAAGCTTAGATTTGGAGGTTCTCCACAAACAACCCATATGTCTGAATACCGTTTCTTTTTGCCAACTTTCTTTCAAGTTGAATCTCCCCTGACATTATGAAGCTAAGTTGCCAGTAAAGTTATCTAAGTACTTTATATATATATGTATTAAGAGTAAATGATAGTAAACAACCTGAATTTCCTCCCACATAGTATCTCTTGTCTGCTCGTCCAGATGTCTCCAGTCATCAAGAAGAACTGGGACATGCTCTCTGACCAGAGGACCAAGGAAAGATGAGAGTGTTACTGACCCACTACCAACATGGTCACCTAAAGAGGTGAATTCCACTTCTACCCTGTCATCGTGATTTTTTGCAACTTTCCTCATTTTAGTTGGACCTCTTGTCTTTCTCTTATTGTTCGCTGACTGCTGTGTCTGGACTTCTTGTTCTCTTGCTACGTTTTCAGGCGGAACAACCTCTTGCTCTACGTCGTCTGTGTCTACTCTTTCTTCTTCTGAATGCTGAATGTCTCCACTCTCTTGAATCTCTTCGGATATGCCAATGTGATCTTCATTCCCTTCGGCTATTTCAGTATCATCTTCATCAATGTCAAGCTCTTTATCTATACCCCCATAGAATCAATAGCCTTTTTCTTCTTCAGAGTTGCTGAATCCAACGGACTTACTTCTAGTCCTTGCTGACGCTTACTGCGACGGACCAAGCCTCCATTTTTCATCATCTCTGCTTACCTGAAACAGAACCAAATTCTTTTTAGCATTATCTTTAATCCACCAACAAGACACCTTCACAATCATCTCTAACACAGAAAGCTTCATCATCAGACGAATTATCTCCTTCTTCTTCAGTTGGTATCCTTAACGTCGCTGAAACAAACTCTTCTTCTGTCTCTAACTCATGGTATCCTCTAGGTGGCGCTCTCATGAAAACATACCAAGGCGAGGACCCTTCTTCTCTCGAATAAAAAACTTGCTTAGCTTGTGACGCCAATATGTAAGGGTCACTGATAAATGTTGATTGTGACATATGGAGATTCACAAGCGTGAACCCATCTTCCTCTTTCAAGCCATTTCCTTTATTTGCCCATACACACTTAAAAAGCGGAACCTGGAACATGTGGTAGTCTATCAAGATGATCTCCTTTATCACTCCGTAGAATGCTACTATGTCAGCCATATGTCTCGTGTCCTTGGCACTAGCTCTGCACATCGAGAAAGCTTCATATGATATACCACTGTTCTGTGTCTTCCTCTTCACGTCATCTGTATGGAAACGATGACCATTTATGACATATCCCTTGTAGCTTTGAGCAATACGTCTTGGTCCAAACGCAAGCCATCGAAGCCTAGTTGAATGTTCTTTTGAGTTTGTAGGTATCTGTAATAAACCAGAAATTAATTCTGAATACAGATTAACATTGAAAACTGTTTAAATGAAAATCACGAAAGAAACAAAAAGAGTACAAACCTTTTCTTTAACCCATTGCGAGAATCTTTCATTATGATACTTCCATAGAAGAATTTCATTCTTAGCGCATCTTGCATTATTGATTTGTAGTTCTTCCAAATGTAACCTGCGATAGACCAAATTATTACCTGATGCAATATACTAAATAATTTAGAGATAGTAGTGCTTGTAGTGAGTTTCTAACTTACTCTACATATGGATCCATAACAGCTGTATTCATGAGGATGTACCGATGAGCTATGTCACGCTCTTTGTCCGTTAGTGTAATCTCTGTGGCTTTCTGCAAAGGTCGTCCCTCAAGGACTGGTTGTTCTGTCTCGACATCCTCATTTCTATTAATTGTTTCCTGAACTGGGACAGATTTTTTAAGGAACTCCAGGCAGAAGGCAATGCATTCGCCAGCTAAGTACCCTTCAGCCATACAAGCTTCTGGCCTAGCAAAATTCTTGACATAGGCCGTCAGTGTTTTCATGTACCTGTATTTACATCAACAAACAGATTACGTGAATACTAGCTACTTATACTACCAATCTATTTTTCAAATTAAATAACAAAATTACAAGACTTACCTTTCAAAAGGATACATCCAGCGAAAGTGAACTGGTCCACCTAGTCGTGCTTCTCTCGCTAGATGTAGTGGTAGGTGAAACATGATGTCGAACAACGAAGGCGGAAAATATCTTTCCATCTGACACAATGTTTCCACGAGTTCTGCTTCTAACGTTACAAGCTTCTCTGGATCAATCACACGCTGACATAGACGGTTGAAGTAATTGCAGAGTCGAGTCACTGCAACTCGAGGACCTTTTGGTAGTAAACCTCTCAAAACCACAGGAAACAAGTTCTGCATTAGTACATGATGGTCATGTGACTTCATACTTCCGATAATGGGAGGTTCAACAGAGACACAATTCGAAATATTAGCACAATAGCCATCAGGTCCTCTGAATTTTGACAATCTTTTGCAGAATCTAACTTTCTCTGATTTACTAAGCCAATACGCAGCAGGAGGTAAATAAGTTCTCTTCCCATGTACCTCTGAATGCAAGTTGCTTCTAATTCCAATATCCTCCAAGTCTTTTCGTGCTTTCAAGCCATCTTTTGATTTCCCATTATGCATCAGAATAGACAACAATGCGTCTGATACATTTTTTTCAACGTGCATAACGTCAACGTTGTGACGCACTGGCATATCCTGCAACGTAAAGGCACATTATGTCAAACACAAGTTGTTGTACAGTTAGCTAAAGTAAAGAAAAATAAGTTTGTAGTAAACTAACCTTCCAGTACGGTAAATCAAAAAAAATGGATCTCTTTTTCCAGCGCCATAAGTCATTGTCTTCTTCACATTCCTCAGGAGAAATGACATCATCTTCATGTACATCTGATCTTTTTCTTTTTCCTTTCTTGTCCAACGGTTTTCCGAACTCATTCCGAAAATCCTTCAGGCTCTCAAAGATTTCGGATCCACTTTGAATTCTACTAGCAGTTCCTGTCTCCACAGTATTGTCAAACCAGGCTTTCCGACGTCTGTATGGATGCCCAGGCCTTAGACGCTTCCTATTACTCATGTATACATGCTTTCTACTGAATTTTAGCCATCTGAAAGGTGTATCCTTCCCACAAACAACGCACGCTTGTTTCCCCTTTACTTTACACCCAGCTAATGTTCCTAGAGCTGGATAGTCAGTTATACTCCACAACAACATTGCTCTAAGAGTGAAACTTTCCTTCTTGAACGAGTCATAAACCACCATACCTTCGTTCCAAAGGTCCTTTAGGTCTTCTATTAACGGCTTTAGATAGACATCGATGTTGTTGCTAGGAGCAGTTGGTCCTGGGATCAGCATGGTCAACATAATATTTTCTGCTTTCATACACTCTGTTGGCCCCATATTGTAGTTGACTAAGAGCACTGGCCATGTGTTGTACTTGGCGTTCTGTATAGAAAAAGGATTCATTCCATCAATCGAAAGACCAAGCCTAAGATTTCTCGACTCAGCAGCAAAATCTGGCCATTTATCATCTGCCTGAATCCATGTCAATGAGTCCACTGGATGTCTCATAGTACCATCGGTACTAGCATTAGTAAAATGCCACTGTAACTTCTCTGCCAGTCGTTTTGATCTGAACATCCTCCGTAGTTTGTCTTTTATCGGAAAATAACGGAGCACCTTAGCCGGAATACCTTTCTTCTCCTCACCAGAGTGTTTATCTCTTTCCCATCTTGACTCACTGCATCTTGGACAGCTCACTAATTCCTCATATTCATGCCTATATAGAATGCAATCATTCTTGCATGCGTGAATATTGTCGTAGCCAAATCCAAAGACCTTCAAAAACTTCTTCATTTGATCTGTGGACTTAGGCAAGACATTGTCTCCAGGTAGCATGTCACTAACTAGCATTAGAAGCTGATCAAAATAATTCTCAGACATACCGCTCTTCACCTTTATTCTATAGAGACCCATGATTGCAGAAACTTTGGTGTAGTTCTCGCAGGTCGAGTACAATGGAGTTTCTGCATCCTCTAACTTCTTCCTAAACTCAATTTCTTCATCGTACTGTGGATCATCCAATTGATCCACATTTTGCTTCTAAGTAGTGTGCTTGAATTCATTCGCCGTAAACGCTGTCCTAATCAGATCATAAGCCTCATGCTCTGACGTCTGAACATCGTTCGTCTTAGCATCCCTTATTTCGTCGTGCTTACTCCAACATCTACTTCTCTTGTACTTATGATCCATCCCTCTAATGACTAGATGTTCCAAAACTGTTTCACTACATTGGTGGCAGACGTTGCGGCAATCAATGCAAGGACAGAACATAGCTGACGGATTACCCAAACTCCTAACTGAATCACATACGAACTTAATAGCTCCTTCCTCATACTCAAGACTATTCCTAAAATTTAACCAAAACTGAAAAAATAAATGACGATATCTATAACTAAAGTAGAGAAGACATCAGAAAAGTGTAGGTCTAGTGAAAACGTACCTTGGTAGCCAGACCCAAGTTTTGTCCATGATACAAGAGCTCCGACCAAGTGTTTTTGTAAAACCAATTACACAATCACGTTAAGCCACAAGAATAGTAAAGAAATCTGAGTGGAAAAGAGATAAGACAAATCGGAATGAATCAATTGAACATGCAAGTTGCCTGAATCATTACTAATTTATAACTAAACAGGATTTCGTAGTTAAAGTATTTAAACATTGAGGAAGAGAAAATTTCATGTCACCTTAATCGAAAAGCTTCAACCCCAAAGTGTACGGTAATGGTTTGTGTCGGAGTGAAAGTATCTTCGTCTGCCGACTGAATTTTTCGGAAATGGTATATCGAGAAGAAAGAGCAAAGGCGAAGAATGGTTGGACCTCAATCTCGAGTCCTGCGTTCGTCGACCTCAACCGAGATAGGAGAGGGTTCCACAGATTCAAATCGAGCAAGAAGGAATCACAATTGAACAATGGAGAAGAAAGAGAGTAGGATTAGTCGGGGAATTGGATAATCGAGCAGAGGTGAGTGAAAGAGGAAGAACACGATTTTAGGTTAGGGTAATTGGGGATTTCTAAATCTAAATCGATTTCGCATCTAATTTTTACTAAGTGTAGCGGGAATTTTTTTCCCTTTTTCCGCCTAACCCTATTACGGCGTTTTTAAACTAGTACTGCTATTGAAAATAACCTTCCCCTTTAAAAATTTCACGGATTTGTTTTTTAATTAATCTCACTAGTATTCATAGCGTTTACAAAAAAACAAACGCTATCTATACAATACGGTAGATTAACCATAGCAGTTTTATCAAAAACGCTATAAATTTATGCTATAAAAAACCAATATTCTTGTAGTGACCTGAACAGTACTTGTTCATGGGAAACAGGATGAAAGCGCGTATAGAAGGCATTGGGACATATAAATTGATCATGGACACTAGTTGTCATGTGAATCTTGAAGGGTGTCTTTATGTACCTGAGTGTGTTAGAAATCTTGTTTCTGTAAGTAGGTTGGACAATTTAGGTTTTGATTTTAAGATAGGACATGGTGTATTCTCATTGTACCGAAATGATTACTTTTATGGTAGTGGTACTTTATTTGATTCACTTTATCGGTTCAATCTTGATGCAAAGTTCTCTGAATCCTTATTTAATATTGAAAGTCGTGGCATTAAACGTAGTGCATCAGATGAAAGTTCTGCTTTCTTGTGGCATCAAAGGTTATGTCACATTTCCAAAGAAAGGATGATGAGGTTGGTAAAGAATGAAATTCTACCTCAGTTGGATTTTAGTGATCTAAATGTGTGTATAGACTGCATTAAAGGAAAGCAGACTAAACATGTTGTAAAGAAACCAGCCACAAGAAGCACTCAGCTGCTTGAGTTAATTCATACCGATATATGCGGCCCTTTCGATGCTCCCTCTTGGAGTGGCGAAAAATACTTTATCACCTTTATTGATGATTACTCACGTTATGGATATACATATCTCCTGCATGAAAAATCTCAGTCTGTGAATGTCTTAAAAGTGTTCATTGATGAGGTGGAAAGGCAGTTGGAGAGAAAAATAAAAGTGGTGAGATCTGATAGAGGTGGTGAGTTTTATGGAAAATTCAATGAAAGTGGACAATGTCCTGGTCCATTTGCAAAGTTACTTGAAAGTAAAGGCATTTGTGCACAGTATACAATGCCTGGTACTCCTCAGCAGAATGGTGTAGCTGAGAGGCGGAATCGTACTCTAATAGAAATGGTTAGGAGCATGTTAAGTAATAGTTCTTTACCCCTTTCATTGTGGATATATGCATTAAGGACTGCAACATATGTGTTGAACCGGGTTCCTAGTAAGGCAGTTCCTAAGACCCCTTATGAACTGTGGACAGGAAGGAAACCTAGTTTAAGGCACTTACGTGTTTGGGGTTGCCCAGCAGAAGTAAGGTTATATAACCCACATGAAAAGAAACTTGATTCTAGGACTGTCAGTGGGTTTTTCATTGGCTATCCTGAAAAATCAAAGGGGTATACTTTTTACTGTCCTAAGCATAGTACGAGAATAGTTGAGACGGTAATGCTAGGTTCATTGAGAACGGTGAAACTAGTGGGAGTGGTGAATCTAGAAAGGTGGACATTCAAGAAATTCAGGACGAAGTTTCTTCTCCTGTTGTTTCACCTCCTATAGTTGTTCCTATTGTTGCATCACAGACAAATAGCACAATAGAACAACATGATGATGAGCTAATCCCACCAGATGATAATATTATCAATGAACCTGTCACAATTCAAGAAGAGAATAGTGCACCACAAGAACCATTAAGGCGATCTGATAGAGCAAGGAGATCTGCCATTTCTAATGATTATATGGTTTACGCTATTGAAAGTGAATGTGACTTAAGTATTGATGAATACCCGAAGTCATTCCAAGAAGCCATGGAAAGTGATGATTCTGAAAAATGGTTTATTGCCTCAAAAGATGAAATGAAGTCTTATGGGTGATATAAGAGTATGGGACTTAGTAGAGTTGCCTGACGGTTTCAAGACCGTTGGTTCTAAATGGATTTATACTATTAAACGCGACTCGAAAGGTGCCATTGACAGATACAAGGCTCGCCTTGTAGCTAAAGGTTTCACCCAAAAAGATGGCATTGACTATAAAGAGACCTTCTCTCCTGTTTCTAAGAAGGATTCTCTAAGAATTGTTTTGGCTTTGGTAGCTCAGTATGATCTTGAGCTTCACCAAATGGATGTGAAAACCGCCTTTCTGAATGGAGATCTTGAGGAAGAAGTATATATGGACCAACCTGAAGGATTTGTGGTCGCAGGAAAAGAACATATGGTATGTAAGCTGAGAAAGTCAATATATGGACTTAAACAAGCTTCCAGACAATGGTATCTAAAGTTTAATGATACCATCACGTCATATGGTTTTGTAGAGGTCATTGTTGATCGATGTATCTACGTTAAGATCAGTGGGAGCAAGTTTATTATGTTAGTCTTATATGTTGATGATATTTTGCTTGCTGCAAATGACATGGGGATGTTACATGATACAAAGAAGTATCTCTCTAAGAACTTTGAAATGAAAGATATGGGTGAGGCATCCTATGTGATCGGAATAGAAATATTTCGAGATAGATCACAAGGTTTGTTAAGTTTGTCTCAGAAAGGATATATTAATAAGATCTTAGAGAGATATAAGATGGAAAAATGCTCTGCATGGGATAGCTCCAATTCAGAAGGGAGATAAGTTCAGTAAAATGCAATGTCCTAAAAATGAATTGGAGCGTAAGGAAATGGAAAGAATTCCATATGCATCAGTAGTTGGGAGTTTGAACTATGTTCAGACATGTACTCGGCCAGATATCACTTTTGCTGTTGGTATGTTGGGTCGATATCAAAGTAATCCCGGAATGGATCACTGGAAAGCTGCAAAGAAGGTTCTCAGGTACTTGCAAGGCACCAAAGAGCACATGCTTACATTCAGGAGATCCAATCATCTAGAGATCATTGGATATTCAGATTCAGATTATGCTGGATGCGTCGATAGCAGGAAATCGACGTTTGGCTATTTGTTCCAATTAGCCGGAGGAGCAGTATCGTGGAAAAGTGGAAAGCAGTCTGTCATTGCTACTTCTACTATGGAGGCTGAGTTTGTGGCATGCTTTGAGGCCACAATTCATGCATTGTGGCTGCGGAACTTTATCTCAGGGCTTCAAATTGTCGACAATATTGAGAAGCCGCTGAGAATCTATTGTGATAATTCTGCAGCTGTCTTCTTTTCAAAGAATGACAAGTACTCGAAGGGTGCCAAGCACATGGAGATAAAGTATTTGTCTGTCAAAGAAGAAGTACAGAAACGTAGAGTGTCCTTTGAGCACATAGGGACGGATATGATGGTTGCGGATCCGTTAACTAAAGGACTACCACCCAAGGCGTTCATTGGCCATGTAGAACGTATGGGTATTATAGATAAAGCCTTGCTATTTTAGATATGGAATGCTCATTTGTGTGTGACACTATGAATTCACTTAAAGTTATGTTTCTGTTTTATTAAGTATGTTATTATTAAAGTATGTGTATACACTTATGGTTCAGAGATAACATATGTTTAGTTTGAGAATTAAGGTTCTTCTCAAATGTAAGGAAACCTGTAAAATTATGACTAGTTTGTGATACATGGAAGGAATCATGTCGTTTAATGATGTGTGACCGCCATGATTCGATTAGTTCTGATTTTATTGTGGTGATTAAGGTTATATGAACTTGATATAACAGTGCACATTATAGATATTAAACTATTAAGTTAACACAAAGGTCAAGTGGGAGAATGTAAGAATATTTATATTCTTATGTGTGACCTATGTGTTTTTCAGTTTAATATAAAGATCAAGTTCTTATAGTTAATGATTCTAATATAAAAGATGATTCCATGATGGATTGGTTTCAATGAAAGACATTAGAATCTGGGTGTATTGATAACCCTCTTCCCTTACCCTATAATGTTATAAACATCTTTCTCTAATGGTCATATGTATTATATATATGATTAACTATATATATTAATACATGTGAGAAAGGATGTGTTGAATGGTCGTGAGGTTACGTACGTAACCGTTGGTGCATGTGTTTCTATTATGTATATAATATAAGATATCAGAATTAAGAGACAAGAACAACAACAACAGACACACACCATACAACACTCGTATAAGAAAAGTCAAAGAGAGATTAAGGTTTGGATCCCTTGTCCATCAAAAGGGATCAGAAGGAGAAAGGTCAAAGGGAGGAGAAGATCAATTGAAGTATTGATCTCACAACAAGACAGAAGAAAGCATGGATCAAGGTTAGTGTTTCTTTCTTCTTCTCTAAGAAACTGTTAGGTTGGATTATATCAAATCTAGATTATCTTGGGATAGATTTCATATGTCATAGAAATCATTAAAGTTTTACAATCTTTTCATTTCTTTAATTGACCCGCTAATTTCTGCTGTCACGCTTTCTAATTTTAAATGCTAACAAAAATCTAGGAAAAGTGAGGAGATATTTCAGGGATTACGGAGATAAAAAAAAAGCACAAATTTTGGAAAATATCATAAATTTTGGGTAATGTACGCAAATAAAAATAATATAAGGGACAAAATATCAAATCCGAAAGATTCGGGTTTCCTCATTCTTGAAACTGGGAAAGTGTAGAGTGTCTTTATTCGTTTGTCGTCCCACAAACCCTATCTCTCCACTCTTCACTCTCTTTTCTCCGCCACCACACAAAAACATTCTTCTTTCTTCTTCTTCTGCTCGTAAATTGCATAATTTTCACGCTGTTTTTCATCTATATATACACACATTTCATTCGACCTTCTCTATTCATTTCTTCCTACAATCCCTAATTTCTCATAAATATTGTCCTGATTCGATTCCAATTCATATTGTTCCTTCTGAGTTTTGAGTCATTATCATTTTTTTCAAATTTTCCCTAACAACGTTTCTGGGATTATATCTTTTCTAAACCAAACATTTTTTTTTCTTTTCTCTGAGTTTCCTGCGAAATTGAGTTTGTCTTCACCAAATTCTTCTGCAATTCTGGTTTGATTTTCCTCCCAATTCCGCCATTTTTACCCTAATTCATTGATTATCCATCGAATTTCACGGAGGGGGTTTTCAATGGCGCTTGCGTATGATCCTCTCTTCATCACATCGGAGATTTCCGCCATGGACGTAGCAGCAGCCTCGCCGCCGCCGATGATGTTAACCCAGGACGAGCTCAAACGAATCGCCGCCTACAAAGCCGTCGAGTTCGTCGAATCCGGCATGGTCCTCGGGCTCGGCACAGGCTCCACCGCCAAACACGCCGTCGACCGAATCGGAGAGCTTCTCCGGCAAGGAAAACTCGAAAACATCGTCGGGATCCCAACGTCGAAGAAGACGCAGGAGCAGGCTCTCTCCGTCGGGATCCCTCTCTCCGATCTCGACGCGCATCCCGTCATCGATCTCTCCATAGACGGCGCCGACGAGGTCGACCCTTACCTCAACCTCGTGAAAGGCCGAGGAGGATCTCTCCTCCGGGAGAAGATGATCGAAGGAGCTTCTAAGAAGTTCGTCGTGATCGTTGACGAGTCGAAGATGGTGAAACACATCGGCGGGAGCAAGCTAGCTCTTCCGGTGGAGATCGTGCCGTTCTGCTGGAGATTCACGGCGGAGAAGCTCCGGGAGCTGATGGAGGGGTACGGCTGCGAAGCGAATCTCCGGCTGGGAGAGAGAGGGAAGCCGTTCGTGACGGATAATGGGAATTACATAGTGGATATGCATCTGGAGAAGGATATGGGAGATTTGAGAGCAGTGAGCGATGCGATTCTGAGGATTGCTGGAGTTGTGGAGCATGGCATGTTTCTTGATATGGCGTCCACTGTTATCGTTGCTGGTGAGTTTGGTGTCAAGATCAAGAACAAACAATCCTTTTGAGGTCTCTTTGTTTTTGGTTTTTTGCATTTTTGGGGTATTAGGGAGAGGAAGAGAGGATTATGGTTGTTGTAATAGATAGGTTGGGGTTTGGATGATTGTTGTTATGATGTCACTGTGAGGAGATTTGACTTTTCACGGAGTTTTGGATGCATTTGATCATCTTCTTCTGTTCTTAATTATATAAACAGCAATTTTGCTTAACTGTCTTCGAATGGTTCTCTTTCTAGTATTGGGCCTATACGTTTTGATGTGTTGGGCTTTGCTGTTAATATATCATAGTCGACATTGATACGCTCGAGGTGAGATTTCTATCCGAAACCAAAACCCCAATTCACCCGGAAAATTCCGAACCGAACCCAAACCAAAATTTAAAATAATTCGTTCGGTTTCTATGTTGCTAAATCCCAAACTAAAAAAAAAACTGAAAAACTTGGAAAAAAAAAAAAGAAAACCCCGAATTTAGCTGAACCAAAAACTTGAACAAAACTCAAAAACTGACATGAATTGAACCTGAACCAAAATTCAAAATTACATGATCGGTTTCTATATTTCTATATACGAAAGCCTAAAACCTGAAAAACTCCATTTGAATCCAATCCGAAATCCAAAATTCCAGCGCAAGAGAACGATATTGTCAATCAAAATAAATCAAATTTCCTTGGTAGCATGAGTTATCATATGGTATGATTATTTATGAATTTAACTCAAAATATTATTAATCATTATTTATTTTCAACTTTTTGTACTAGAGTTTAAGTTTGAATATAGTATGGTTGAATTAGAATTTTGATGTATGTCATTTATAAAACAGTTAACTCAAATCAAATTTCTAGGATGTATTAGAGTTTGATTTAACAATTTTTCTTTTCTTTTTTTCTTCACACATTTTTTTAGTGTATTTTTTTTAAAAAAATTTACAGCAAATTTACCGCAAAAATATAGTATTTCTACGGTTCTACCACATGATTTTTACTGCACCTTACATTCAATAATTTGTCTACTTTAATAGTATAGATTTCTTCTTACTCAACTGTGATATTATGTGTCACCAATCCCAGCATAAATTAATTGTTACAGATTCGGACTTTAAAGTGCTTTGTTGATGTATATACAAATACGAGATGATCAAAATGCAATAAATCAAGAAAATCATGGACGTAATGCATGAGATTGAGAGGGTGTATCGAACGAATTTTTAATTGGTTTTGGTAGAACAGTTGGCCTAAAAGATCCATTAAACCAAATCAGGCCATTAATCAAAAACTAATACGTGGTTAGTTATCACACCTCATTCCACACCCGCTTTAACTGACACGCTCACACACTCACTCCCACGTACAACGGTAGACGTGTCAGTGAACTCGATAAAGTAACAAGAGAGAAGTAATCCAAATTACCAGCTTAAAAACGCTTTGGTGGTCTTTTATTAATCTTCCTAGCTCTTTTTCATCTGCACTAATTTGTCAATTTTATTGATTGTTTTTTTTAGTGTGCAAATTTTATCGATTGTTTAAGGCATTATTTTGCTGAGTTGTTTTCGTTGGCCTAGCTACTTGGAGTCTTTGACCATTATTAGAGTTTAAATGGCCACGTGTGTATGTAATGTATAGCCGTATAAGTATAACTACATAAATATGTGCAAGTACTTTATATAATACGATACGTCTCCCATGATACTGATATTGATATTGATATTGATATTTTTGAGATAATTAATCATAAGATTCGAGAATCTATTACTCCATCTCTTTGCTTCATCTGTAAACAAACACAACTTTATTTTCTTCTCTGATATCTCCTGAATAATTCGGAATTCAGAGAGAAAGAAAGGAAGCTTTTTTATTTAGCTTTAGCTTAAGTAAAATACGATTCTCCTCTTCAAAGTCTCCTTTTTCTTCGCTTTTCCACTTCTTCTTCTTCTCCTTTCTTTCTTTCTTTCTTCTTTCCGACAAAAAGAGACGAAAACGGTACGATCCTCTTTCTCTTCTCCTTCTTCCTGTCCTAAATTTTGGGTCTGCCTCTCGATTCTTCCTTTCTTTTCGTTTTTTTTTTCTTTCCATTTTTTTGCTTCTTATTATTATCTGTCTCCTAAGTATGTAACCATTTCTCTGTGATTTCGTTCTAAAGTTGTTATTTGTCACCTAGGTAAATTCAGATTCCTTCGCCTTGTTCTTAGATTTAACTTTTTTTTTTAAGTTGTAAAATTTGAAAAAAAAACAAAAATTAACAGCTTTTGTGTTCTGTAACCGATCAGCTTTGGTTCAGCTTCACCTAAACCACCATGGCTCTCATAATCAAGAAACATGTTTGCCTATCTAAGTCGCTGGAATCGATCTAAATGTTTTTATTCTTTGCAAGATATTTTTGTTCATCTCTTTTCATTAATGAGCATCTTCTGAATCACATGTTCATGTTGCGTATCACATCACCTTAAGCATTGAATGCGAATGCTTCTGTGAATGATTCTGAACCCAAACCCATTATATCATCAATTCTGCAGCTTAAAGGGGAGAAGAATCTATATAAAATAATATAGAGAAAAGGGGGATTAATTACTTCAGCTGCAAGTTTCTATCTTCAAGACATGGGAGATCATTTCGTGTTGCTTGTGGATCGGTTGATCACAGAATCAACCATTGAGGCAGCGATTCAGAGCAGGAACCGGATGCTCCAAGCCGATAATACACCCGTGGAGGAGGAATGTAGAGTCCTCGACGAGAAAACGCTTGAGAAGCTGCGTAACGGAGACTTGTCAATGGTGCAGTGCAGGATTTGTCACGATGAGGACTTGGATTCTAACATGGAGACTCCTTGTTCTTGCAGCGGCAGCTTGAAGGTAAACACAACAACCTAATATAATCTCTCTAGAGTCATTGGTTGGATATTAAATGATCGATTGTTGTTGTTGTTGTTGTTGTCTTGTTGAGCAGTATGCACATCGGAGGTGTGTGCAGAGATGGTGTAACGAAAAAGGTGATACCACGTGCGAGATTTGCCATCAGGTCCTTCTTCTTTCTTTCTCTGTATCTTCTTGAAAACTTGAACATGATCTGATTATTTTTGTGTTCAGGGATTCAAGCCGGACTATACATCGCCGGCTCCATTGTTAGAGTTGGGTCATGTTCCTCTTCATTTCAGGGGAAACTGGGGAATCTCTCAACGAGACCATCGTTTCATTACTGTCGTACCAGCTGATTCCGCTTACCTTGACGATCATTATCCTCTTTCTTCCACCTCAAGCTTCATCTGTTGCCGTTCCCTTGTTCTCATCGTACGTGAAACAAATCTTCCTCCTTTTCTCTTTTCACAACCAACTTTGCATTATGTCTTCACACTCATGTTTCTTGTTTACAATCTGCAGTTCATGGCTCTCCTCATTCTCCGACATACTCTCCCTTTAATCCTCACCGGATCAAACCTCCACGTCTTCCCTTTGTTCATGGTAAAGATTATCATCTCACAAAAAGACTCTTTCTGATGATGATCACTAACTGTTGTTTTGGTTTTCAGTTGTTGTTTCTGAGAGTAATTGGGATCATGCTACCAATCTATGTCGTGACCAAAGCAGTCGCCACCTGCCGACGCCATGCTCAGACTTTAGACACCTCTGACTCTGAAGAATCATCTGATGAAGAAACAGATTTATGGCGCTTGCCTCAAACGCAATCTTACATTATAGGCGTGCCATAAGCACTGTTCCTTCCTTTCATTCACACACACACACACGAAAAGTCAATGTCACTGTAAATATAATACTCTCACTTATACATGTAAAATGTTGGATTGGATTTTAACACATTGATAACAAAAATGTATCTCATTGGCAAAAGCTCTCTTCTCGTCGAACCATCAATTATCTGCAATGCAGAGAGACAACGACTCATCTTGAATTACTCCACAACAACTCTTAACTTCTAACCATATGGTCGGATACAAAACAACATAACAGTTTGTAAAGATGTTTATAAAATATCCCAACATTGACAAGTAGTGCGTGTTCCAAAATTCAATAGAATAATCTGTACAATCTTTCAGCATCAGAGACAAAAAAAAAAAGTTAAGAGGATAGGACCTGAAGCAGGCAACTTTGGGATTTCAACTCCAAAACAAGATCCTAAGTGTCTGTAAGTTATGAAAACATCACGAGCTTATAGGAGTTCAGTTCCAGCTTCTCCTCGGCCTGAAAAGAAAAGATGGCCACAAAGGGGTATAAGAAACATGCGGAAGAGAGTTTGGTAGCTATGGTTAGATCTAAATAGATAGAAGTAATACTTGCGGTTCTTCTGCTGCGTCCTCCAGTAACAAGCAAGCGCCCCAAATGCGCAGCTGGCGACGGCTATTGCCAAAGCAGCTCCAATCGGAACAACAAGAGCGTTGGTGGCTACTGTCAAGTCTTCAGTGGCTGAGATGTTGGTCTCTTCCTTGCTCCCGATGACACTCTTTTCCTTGTAAAGGGAGACGAGCTTGGGGCCATAGTAGTTCTTCAAGAACTTGTAAACCTGGTCGTGGTCCCACTCTATGCTTTTCTGGTCGCTCGAGAGATAGCACGACGTGCAAAGATCCTTTGGTGGCCATATGATCTTTGGGAACTTGGGGTCACCGGTACTGAGAGAAGCTTCATCTTTCATGAGTCTCTCGTTGACCTTGTTGTGCGTGCTCCACAGCCACAAGACGAAGTCACGTGCCTTTTTGAAAGGAGTTTTCACGCTGTCCATGAGACAAATGCACAGAATAATGAGCAAAGACAGCGACTAATCTAGCTGTGACTTGGTCTGTTTTTTTTTTTTTTTTGTTTTACCTCAAGCACATGTCATTGAAATGCAGGCGACACTCATCACACATGAAGAAGTTGTTGACAAAATCACATATTGCAGTGAATGCAAACTGGCTTTCTCCATCCTCAATCCTCACGGAAAGTGAATGAAACAGAACCCATAATCCGCAGCTACACAGTCAAGCATTTCAAGAATAGTTCAGATACTAGTGGGGACAAACTGAATCCAAGGATCAGAATATGGAATTTGACCAAAGGACTATAGTACCTGAATCCGCGAGTATCGTTCTTGCTACCACGGCAAAACATCTGCCAGATAAGAGATTAGGACAATCAGTGTGGACTAAACAGGAAAAACAGGAAGAGAGCTGGTTGCAAGTTGCAAGCACTCACGTAGTATCCACGTGGAACGTCCTTTCCGCAAATAGGGAAATTTCCCAGTGAATCCTTCCCTCCAGAGACTTCGTAAGAGCATTTTCCAGAAGGGCACAAGTCATCATAGTTCACTAGAATTTCTGCAGCTCCCTTCCGACACCTGCAGAATATAAGATACAGTTAGTGTATGTGGAAATAGAGTGACAAATGAAGATATTGGGATGACGAAACAATAATCTAACCTCCTGGAAAGATGATGGGCTGCAAGAAGCTGGATAAATCTAACAAATGAAGCACTTGTTTCAGATGATTTAATGGCCTGTGGAAATATACTTGTTGATTAGCAAAAACAGAGCGGCGGAAAGAAGGTGATACAAATGATACGGATTTGTCTACCTTTTGTGTTAAAATGATATCAAAAGCTTCTGCGGTTGCTTCCTCAATGTCATATACAGCCTGAGAAATCTGTGGCAGATAATCTTTAAGCTATATGATCTTAAAAGAAACACGCTACTATTATCAGAAAAGTTAGGCGTCTCAGAAACCTGTTCGTAGTCGGTCATATTTGACACAACATGTTCGTTTTCGAAATTCTTATCATCCAATCCATAAGCACTACAAAATATTGAGAAAGAAAACAGAGATTGGTATATAGGATTTGAGATTGGCAAACTAGCCTAGAAGAAAGTTTGAATTTGACAGATGGATTTGTAGTCAATCTGCATTTCATGGAACAAACCTGCCAATCTGCTTGTTAATCCAGTTAAGCAAACGCTCAGCTGTGCGGCCGTCATCAATAACAAGTATATCGCTTTTGTTCTTTTTCGGTTCGACAAATTTTGAAGGAGGACCCCAAAAGAGCATTGGATAATGAGTAATGTCGAACTTGTCACAGAGCTTGGTATTCGTCTGCGCTATTGGAACAATTGAGCATCAGAATAAGTGACTCATAAACCCTTGCTTGGATAAACATGGATTAAGTACCTTCATTGCACAATCAACTCTCGTCATCAAAACGAGTCCGGGATGTATCGCGTCTGGTCCATTGAAGAGCCTCGCTACCTTCTCATATTGAGGCTGCACAGTAACAGTTTAAGGAATGAAAAATCTCCACGAAACAACGCATAGAAGCAAGAGGCCGTTGAATAGTTATGTTACCTTGTAGTTTCTGCAGGCAGGACACCTACAATCAAGCGAAACCATACACGTAAGCCCAAAATTTCTACTGTTGAAAAATATAAACCCTTTGCACTCATCTAATAGCAATGAATAAAGTTAAAATCTTTTCCAAGAGAATTGCACGCTAGATCCACTACCAAACTTTAGGTAGAAAAAGCTAAAGAACCCACCAACTAAAAGTTCCAAAACTGGAAAATTTCTTAAAATGTTTTCAGAAATCGAATTCAAAGCTCTGGGAGAACTGACCAGTGAGCGAAGAACTCGACGACGGCGTACTTGGCGGGGGTGTTGTGAAGGACTGAATCGAAGTTGGTACTGTTCAATTCAACAGCTTTATCTTCCTGATCGGCGTTGCCACCACCGCTGATATCCCGGAGAATCGAGCGGGAGACCGGAGAAGAAGACGAGGCAATTACAAGGCTTAGTAAACCGGTGAACAAAACCAGGTGTACCCAAGACATCAAATCGAATCGAAACAGGAAACAATTCGCCCTGTTGGATACGAACGCGCAGAGATTTCAGAGTTTCCTTTGCTTTTACTCTACTGAGCGTTATGATTTGGAGAGAGAGAGAGAGGAAACAAAGAACACCGAAGAAGATCTATAGAAAGCTTCCCTCCTCTTCCATCGAGAAACGAAGCTTTTGTCTGATATTGAAACTGTAGTGACTTTTCTCCGCCTTAATTCATAATGGGCTTTATTTGTATTAAGCATCACAAGTTGGGCCTTATTGGGCTCATTTATAATGCTCACGGATTTCTCTTTACAACTCGACGTTTTATGTCAGAAAATGATTTCTCTTGTTAAATAATTCGCACTTCTACTCCAATATGGTTCATCTCTACTTTTTGATAAAGAATATGGTTCATTTCTACTCGAATGCTTCGTATACTTTTTTTCATTACGCACCACTTGTTTTTTTAATCCATTACTTGTGGACCTTTGAAGCCATGGTACGGCAAGAAGAACACTATTATGTGTCGGTCATGTGCACATGACATCCCCTAATTATTTTAATAAATCAAACCGGTCATTAGCCGGTTTATTGCATAATGCAGATTCACGTGCACATCAATGTATATGAGACTGATTTTCACTTCACTAAGACACTATTAACAAGGTGTTGTCCCGCACCTTGTGCGGGTACAATATTTTTAAAATACATTAATTAATTAAAAGTTTTAATAAGATAAATAGTATAACTTTTTATAATAAATGATTTTCTATAATGAAATTCTTCTATAATAATTTAAGTTTTTAAAATGCACCAAAAACTAAACCCTACACCCATCAATATAAATCCTACATCCTAAACCCAAACCCTACAGTGTAACACCACCCCCTAAACAACCCAAACACCATAGTGTAACACCCTCCGCCCCCGGTCCCCCCTCCGCCAATCTGTACACCCGAACCCACATTTTAGAAATTGGTTCTATATTTACTTTTATTTTATTTTTAACATAAGTTTTTTTATATCGGTAATTTAGTGTATTCAAATTTTTTTAAATGCATCAACAACTAAATTTTACGCCCATCAGTATAAACCGTACATCATAAACCTCAACCCTATTTTATCTTTTTATTTTAATTTGTCTTTTACTTCATATTTTTTCTTCATTTTCTACTATTTTTTTTCTTATTCTTATCAAACTTTCTATTCTCTTTTAATTTTCTCTTCATCATCATCTTATTATTTCCTGCTTTTTATCAGTTTTCTTCCTTTTATTTACAATTTGTTTTTCAACTGTCTTTGTGTTCTTATTCTTCGTTTTTTTTATCTTTTGATTTTTTTTCAACTTCTTTATTGTTCACATATTCTTCAAATATTTTCTTCTTTTGTTCTGTTTCTTTTGTTTTTTCCGTCTTTGTCTTCCAACTTTCATCTTTTCCTTGTTTTTATTCAGTCTTTTCTTCTTATTTCATTTTGTACTCTTTATCATTTTGTGTTATCAATCCTTTTCATTTTTGCAACATCTTATTTTATTAGTTTCATCTTTCTTCTTGTATTTCTTCTTACATGAAGAAAGATGAAACTGATAAAATAAAAGAAGAGAGTCGAGGAGACTGTGAATAAATATTGTATTTCTTCTTTGTCATCTTCTTCATCCTCAATTTCATCGTAATTTGGCCACATGTTAGCATCAGGAAATATCTTCTCATTGAATCATTACCTCTTCGTAGTGTTTCTCTTTTCTTTAATTGACTCGACTCTCCAAAAGTAAGAAGAATTCAGAATAAGGTTCTCTCTCCTTTAGTAGACGAAACAGGAACTCAAAAATCGTCTTGTCCTACTAAAGCTTACTGCGCAAGTAAGAAAAAAAAAACAAAAGGTTACATCATATGTTACAGAGATTGATGAAGGATTTTTGATGAGTTTTAGAATATTAACCGATCGGCCATCAATGATTTGTTTCTTCATGATCATTCTCTCTACAACAACATAAGGATCTGCAAAGACAATCAATCCAAAGCCACATGCACATCATGTGGTACGGCCTCTCATGATCTCAAGATTCAACCAAATCTTTGTACCTGCTAATATGCTCCCGAAATCATTCTTCTTTCCAGGCTCCGCCAATTCCATTCCTCCAGCTTCATTGAAGAAACTAAAATTAAAAAAAAAAAAAACAGAAAACGTTATACTCTCATCATTAGAATTAGGGTTTCATGAATATTAAGTTGATATATAAAAGAAAAGATGTTCATACCCTCTATTTTTGGGGAAGAATACTTCTGGCTTGGGACCATATATGAACTTCTATTCCATCAGCTTACAAATAATGAATTTTCTGTTACAAAAGTGAGAGAGGAAGTAGTTAGAAGCGGATCAATAGATGATATTGACAGAAAATAACAAATAATCAGTTCATAAATAGTTTTATTAGAACTAAGATCGAACTAAAACAATTAAGGTACATGTGAAGAAGAATATGAGATCTAAGAACTAAAATTACGTATTGAAAGACAAATTGCAAATCGTAATGAAAATTGTGTTGTTTTTCCAAGATCGTATCTATTTATATAATACAGGTCAGTTAAGAATCTTAGGGTTTACTTATTATTTATCTTCCTAAAATTTATAATATCTTCCAAAAATAAGGCGGGGATATGGTAGTTAACATATTTATCTAAAAATATTAAAAGTCAATAATCAAATTCGTTTTTAATAAAAAAGGAAAAATTCGAAGATTTAATTGAAAGATTTTCATTAAGGGCATCTCGGTAATTCCGCGGCTGAGAGTTAACGTGGTGGCTCCATTCACGAAAATTGATTTGCAAATACTAATATGATCTCCTGCAAGTATTATAAATCAGTCTTTAACTCAAGTCTAGTCTCATGAATAAGAATGATGAATATTTTTGTTGTAGCAGATGTATTACGTGCATTAGTTGATGAACGGTTTTACAGTTTTGACTCGTATATAACAAAAACTACATCAACCTCCAAAAAGAAAAAAAGAAAGAAACTAAATATATATTCTTCAACATTTGAAGCTTATCTATGAAAAAGAAAAGAACAAAAGCTTACAGCCTTTCTTTTTTCTTTTGCTGATTTTAAAACAATTTATATATACCAATTTGCCATTTTTTGCATCTTTGTCAGCATCTATCAAGCATCCACCATTAATTAAATAGCCTAATATGGCCTTTGGCTTTTCTCTTATATGCCATATCAACCCCTTTATTTTTTCCATAGTCCAGATTTCAGCTTAAATCTTATAAAGTTTCATTCATAACCCAGACTTATTTGTACGGCTTTACGCTTTAACATGCCAATCAAAAACGAGAGTTTCGGGTAAAATTGTAATGGATTATCAAATGTAAAGGACGAATAGTATAAATAAAACTTTCTAGGGGCTCATGTGTTATTCACTCTCCTTCTCTCTCTCTCTCCTCCAAATATGAACCAATCTTCTTTCTCCTCATTTTTGCTTCATTGACTCCATTTTTGAAACTCCTGAAATTCCCAATTTCCTTTACCCGAATCTCGACTTTCTCCTCGTTGTTGCCTTCGGATTCCCTCTTCCACAAATCTTCGCCTCTTTAATCGGAGCTTAGATATCGAATAGGGTTTTTTTGTTTAATCATTTCATCTTGCTTCCATCGATTTCCCCTTTCTTGGAATCTCCGATTCGACCGTTCTTCCAAGCTTGCTCGTCGTCGTCTCATCGGAGACACCAATCGTGTGCATATTCACGAAATATCAACTTATTAGACCTACATCGATAGGTCAATCAGCTACGAGTACTGGGAGGAGTGTTGCTGTTTAATCCCTCGACGTGTATCATTTCTCATCTCTGTTTTGTTGGTCATCGTTGAATCGGGGGAAGAAGGAGATGTTAGGAGCTGGATTTCAGTTGACGAGAGGACGACACGGCGAGGACCCTTTTTACAGTTCGGCCAAAGCTCGTAGAGCCAACCAGCGCATCGATCAGCTGCGGAGAGCTCAGAGCGACGTCTCTAATGGCCGATCAGCTAATTCCAAGGAATGCGAGAACGAGTCCGCTTCGCAAAAAGTCGCTCCTTGCCTTGCTGCTTCTGAGCCGTCCGCTTCGTCGTCGAGTAATCTCGAACGCTTTTTAGAGTCGGTCACGCCTTCCGTGCCGGCCCAGTATTTATCTAAGGTTTGTTTGAACATGTCAAGTGTGTTTATGTATATTTTATAAAAAAAAAAACCTTTCTTTTATGGCATTGTCTCTCTCTGGAAAGAAGGCAGTATGTTCTAATGGTGATGAATCTGATGATGATTATCTGCAGACATCGCTACGAGAAAGAAGGGCTGATGATGATGATGATAAACTTGTGCCTTACTTTGTGCTTGGAGATATTTGGGAGTCGTTTGCAGAGTGGAGCGCCTACGGCACAGGAGTGCCTCTGGTTTTGGATAACAACAAGGACCGTGTTATCCAATACTATGTGCCCTCCTTGTCAGGCATTCAAATCTATGCTGATACTCTTGCGTTAAGTGCGTCTCTTAAAGCAAGGTGAAATATTTTATGGAATTCGTTTTCTCACAACAGAAAGTTCGTTGGCGTCTTATATCACTTTTTCCTGCGGCAGACGGCCAGGTGATGGTAGCGACAGCGACTTCCGGGATTCAAGTAGCGATGCCAGCACCGATAGTGAGTCTGAACGGGTTACTGCTAGAGTAGAGCATATCTCGTTGAGAGAGGAACATCAGGAAGACTCATCGAGTGATGATGGTGAACCTTTGAGCTCTCAAGGTCGTTTGATATTTGAGTATCTTGAAAGAGACCTTCCCTACATCCGTGAACCTTTGGCTGATAAGGTTTGTGTGTTGGTTTCTCTGCTAGAACCTCGCATTCAAAGATATTATTGAACATATCTGCTCTTTTATATCATCATTCTTATCTGATCAGCATAGATTGCAAGTATCTTCAGTTATATAACCAGTGCGCCGAGATTTCTCTCAATCTATCATTGTTTTTGTTGTTTTAAACCGTGAATGTGGGTCAGAACCTACTGGTCTGTTCATCAACTAAAAATAGACCACGTTCTAAACTCATTACTTGTGCTGCATTGCAGGTCTCTGACCTTGCTGAACGGTTTCCCGAGCTGAAGACGCTAAGAAGCTGTGACTTGCTTCCTTCGAGCTGGTTTTCTGTGGCATGGTATTGTGGTTTGTACTTTTAAGTGCAGTTTCCTGCTGCTAATTATGCTGTTCTCACGTCTCTTAGAATCCATTTATATACTTTGCAGGTACCCAATTTACAGAATACCCACAGGACCTACACTTAAGGACCTGGATGCTTGTTTCTTGACGTACCATTCCCTTCACACACCGTTTAGAGGTAAGCAAAACTGTTTTGCTCTCTATTCACACACAAGCTAGGCTTAGATTTGCACGGTTGCCATGACTTTATCGAATCAGCCAGTCAATCCTTATGAACCTCGACAAATTTACTTGACTGAGCCCAAAATGTTGCAATCTAGTGGTAACATGAGTCTAGAGTAGGATAATTTTACTTTGACAAGATGAGTTTCAGAAATTTGCTGTGAAGTCAGATTTAGGATAATTGTTTGGTAGATATATGTAGTCATTCACAACGTTGGGCGGTTGTATGTAGGTGAAGGAGGTGGTGCACAAGCAATGAGCCTTGTGGACGGAAGGGAGAGTGCGAAGATGTCAATACCTGTATTTGGGCTGGCTTCATACAAGTTCAGAGGTTGTGTATGGACAGCCAATGAGGGCTCTGAGAACCCATTAGTGAACTCCCTCTTCCAAGCTGCTGACAAGTGGCTGCGTTCATGTCATGTCAGCCACCCTGATTTCCTCTTCTTCTGCCGCCGCTGATATATGAGTTTTCTTCGATAGACACAAATTTGTCGATAAAACTCAAACTGTTGATGGGACCTAAGTTGCTTTATCTGTAAGTTACATAGAGATAAACGACTTTTTGTTTTGTTTTGTCAGATTATTGTATGTGAACCATGGGCTAACCCTTTTGTTGTATACCAATGGCAAATGCATACCATGTTGTCTGCTATAGAATCTTTTGGTGTAAAATGTGAATGTTCAACCATACAAAGTTAGTTTGAGTTGTGTGTAAAAGACAAGTAACAACAAATCAAATCCAAATTGACAATTCTACACAAACCCCATAGAAATCTGTGAATCACACGAATGGGGCCTGAAATCAATTTGAAAAATGAAGACATAACCAATGGGCTTTACTATATAGTTAATGGGCCTGATGAAATATATGAGGCCCATTTAATTTCTCGCTTAACCCTAATTTGAGTGAGTGGCATATATTTATAGTTCCTCTTCGCCGCTGTGTTTATCGTCTCTTTGAAATTCCGTTTGATTCGAGCTCGACAGAGACAGAGATTGGTCTTTGATTACTTCTTTCACTCATCTACGCCCTGTGACTTTTAAATTTATCCTTTTGTTTGAGAAAGGTGGTTGATTATATATTTGATTGATCCGCAGGAAATCACAGAAATGGCGGAATCAAAGGTTGTAGTTCCGGAATCGTTGCTGAAGAAGAGAAAGAGAGAGGAGGAATGGGCTTTGGAGAAGAAGCAGAATGCCGAAGCTGCGAAGAAGAAGAACGCTGAGAACAGGAAGCTTATCTACAAGAGAGCCCAGCAGTACGAGAAGGAGTACTCCGACCAGGTAACAGAACCGTTCCTCTGATAACTTTTTTTAGGTCGAGAGTCTCTATGCTTTTTCAGATCTATCGTAAAATGAGTATTGATTTTTGATTTTGGTTGACAGGAGAAGGAGTTGATCTCTTTGAAGCGTGAGGCTAAGCTGAAAGGAGGTTTCTATGTTGATCCTGAAGCTAAGCTCTTGTTCATCATCCGTATCCGTGGGTATGTAATTCTGTTTTCTATGTCTCTCTGTTTTTAGCATTTCCAAGAGATTTTTATGTTTAGTGTTTCTTAGATTTTGTTCCATGAATTTGCAGTATCAATGCCATTGACCCAAAGACCAAGAAGATTCTTCAGCTCTTGCGTCTGAGACAGGTTTGTCTATGAGTTTCTTCACTCTATGCGTCTCTGGATTGATTCGTTTAGGACCTGAGAGTTGCTGATTGCTGTTTATATGTTGCCTGTAGATTTGTAGAATTGTTTGGACAAAGTTGTTATGTTTCTTCCATAAGAAGAGCTTACTTTGAGAACTGAATAATAATAATTCCTGAATTTGGCATTTGTAATGCAGATTTTCAATGGAGTGTTCTTGAAGGTCAACAAGGCTACAATGAACATGCTTCGCCGTGTTGAGCCCTACGTGACTTACGGGTATAGAATCTCATCCTGAACCCTTAATCCTTTAGGCCATTATAAGAAGATAGATAGTAAACTGGTCTCGCTTTCTGTTTTCGTGTTCAGATTCCCTAACTTGAAGAGTGTTAAGGAATTGATCTACAAAAGAGGATACGGAAAGCTAAACCACCAGAGGATTGCTTTGACTGACAACTCCATCGTTGAGCAGGTTTGGAAACTGTCAAGAACTCTTTGGCCATACCTTTGATTTGAGTTAAATTGGTTATGATGATTTGTGTCTTTGTTTGATACAACAGGCTCTTGGCAAGCATGGGATCATCTGCACTGAGGATTTGATCCACGAGATCTTAACAGTGGGACCTCATTTCAAGGAGGCCAACAACTTCCTGTGGCCGTTCCAGCTCAAGGCACCACTCGGTGGCCTCAAGAAGAAGAGAAATCACTACGTTGAAGGTGGTGATGCCGGAAACCGTGAGAACTTCATCAACGAGCTTATCAGGAGGATGAATTAGAATGTTTTCTTTTCCAATGTCAGACTTATCCTTGTCTTCCTTGCATGGTTCCTCCTGGATTTTGATCTTCTTTCTTAAGTTTAAAGACATTTTGAGACTTGTCTTTCATTATTATTTTTGCACCTTAGTATGGATTATGCCCACTGCCAGTATTTCTACACATTTCTCTTATGTGTTACTTAAGAAATTATTTCACAATCTATGTCTTCGTTTTGTTAAAAAATACAAGTCATTGCTCGCAAAGGAGAAATTTTTTTTCTTAATGATGTTCGCTAAATGGTCTGCCATCGCAAACAGTCTATACTTGAACAATTCAGGCTTTTTTATTAAAGTTAATTTTCTAATATAATTTCAGTTTTTTTTAATTTCAAATCGCAACTGTCTTCGTTTAGGAAAAGAGAGGAAAATTTGGTGAAGTAAATTCGTTGTATTGATGCTACACGTTGATGAAGTAAACGTAGAAATAAAAGTACAATTAGAGAAAACGAATGGAACAAAATGTTATGTGTACTCTCTCGGTTTACAATTGTTGTAAATAGCTTTTTTTCTTCTCGGTTTAAGTTTCTCGAGTCAATCTAAATTAGTTTCTTGAGCTTTGTCTTCTATGTTACTTCTTCCTTACCCTCCTCCTGTTACACCCAATGGATGGACTATATAGACCTAAGACCTATCTTTCTCTGGTTTGTTAGTTTTAATTATAAAAAGTTATGATTTTTAACATCCTGTTCTTATATATGATATTTTGGGACATAGTAAGTTTCTCAAGACAATTAATTGAAAAAATTGTAACATAATGTGTTTAATTAGAATGTTAGACATTGCCTTGAGATATAATCATTTTGGCAACCTTATAATTTAGCATCTTTAAATACGTGTCCAATGATTCTATTGATACACAACTAATATTGTTATACGAGAAGGTGCCAGTGTCGCATTATTTGTTTGCCAATGAAGAAGAAAAAAGATACACAACTAATATAAAAAAGGAAATTGAGAAACTTTACTTTTGGATTCAGACTTTGTATGTAGATGCATATATATAATGTACATTCATTTGAACAATATATATAAGAAATAAAGAGATGCATATTTTAGTTTTAAATGGAAATAAATCAACTGTAAAAAGTTAATATCCTCAAAATTTATCACACGGAGAAACAAAAGGTATCAGATATTTCCATGCAAATGTTGTGAGTATAAATTATGCCACTGCTCAGCAAAATGACGAAAATAGTTTGTTCATATTTACATACATGTGTTTGTAGAATACAGATTTTGATACAGATTTCAAGGCGGAGGCTATTCCTACAAGAAGTAAGATAAATTTGAAATTTCTATCAGCCAGAGATGCATATTTTAGTGTGTGTTTTTTTTTTTGGGTTAAATACTTAAATGGCCTCCATACATATTTTTGTTTTCTTTTCCTTCAAGTAATCGTTGAAAAGGAAATTAATCTTTTACAACGAAATGAATTTGTTGCATGAATAAACAGAACATGATTTTAACCTTTCAATGAAGTTGTACATGTTAATAAACGGCGTTTGGTGTAATCAAAGCTACCATAGTTATACGATGATTATAGTTCAATTTATGAGTAAAAGCATGCCAAAGAAATCTGACACGAGAAATTAAATGGTAATTTTTCTTATATATTCCTGATTAACTTTGTTTTATGCAGATTGCAGGTTTCAATAAGATTAATCACAAATTTCACAACACAAAGCAATGTCTCTTGTGGAACAAATATTTGGTGAAGGAGCAGGTAAAATAATTATACAATCATTTTTATAAAAAAAAATCTCTTTCTTCTCATCTTACTACTAGACTACAAGTTGTTGCAGTGGCGGATTTATGTGTGTGGAAAGACAAGATAAAATCAGGCACAACACTTGCGATGGCCACACTTTTCTGGTTCCTGTTGGAGATCATGGAGGCTCGACCTGTACCACTTCTCTGCACAATCTTGTTACTCCTCATGCCCCTCCTCTTCATCTGGACCAAGTTTGGACAACTCCTTTTCACTCGGTACATTACATATACACAAATCTTTTAGTACCTCAATGAAAGAAGAAATAGATAACACCCTCTGTTATGATCTCAAGCAGGAGACCTCCCACTCCTGAAGAGATCAAGCTTGCAGATTCCCCAGTTAAAGCCTTGTTCTCAAACATGGAGAGACTCGTCCTTATGTTATATGAGATTGCATATGGGGAAGACATCAAAGCCTTTCTCTTGGTGAGTCTTCTCTACTACCTTAACACTAGTTTCTTGTCTTTTTATACAAATTTCAGTTTCACTTATACTTCCATGTGGCAGACAATCTTTTATGTGGTCATCATAGACACCATTGGGAGCTACATCAGTTTCCTCACAATCCTGTATACATGTAAGAAGATGACAATTACTTGACCTATAATCTTTTATTATTTTTGTCAACAGCATCTATTTCTTGACCTATAATCAATCTCCTTTTTTCTTTTTTTTTTTTTTCTAATATATGAATATATGTATCAGTCACAATCCTTCCAGGCTTAGTCTGCTCGATGACGATTCCGGTTTTGTACCTGCAATTTCAAGAGGTCATTGACGGTTTGATTGGGAATGTATCGGAAGAGATGAACAAGTTACTTGTAGTATTCAAATCCAATGTTCTGGACAAAATTCGTAGGGCCATCAAGAAGGAGTAGTAGCAGCTCTTGCTGAGTTTTACCAGAATATGAAAGCAAATATATATGTTTAGGGATCATAGTTTCAACTTATTTGATTTAGAATAAATAATTAAAATCCGTGTTTAAACGAGCGATTAGATACAATGTTACCATCAAAATTTGCATCCAACAAATTCAAAACAAAGCCAAAATGTAAAACCGATTATTCATCTCTAAACCAATTATTAATACTGAGAAAATTTTATAAACCAATTTCTTTCCGCTGGAGAATCACCTAGATCTGCTTCATCCACTCTCTCGCTCTCACTCTGATTTGGACGTTTGCTCTTGCTCTTGCTCCGTCTCCGTCTCCGTCTCCGTCGTCGTTTCTTCTCGGCGGCAGCTATGATTTCTCCCACCAAATTCAAATCCGTAGATTTCTACAGGTGCGATCCTCTGATCTCTCTCACATTTCCTCATTGCCTCTGATGCATTCTCAATACATTTTGGATTGAATGTGATTAGTTACGCGTTTGATTTATTCGGAATTCGTTATGTGCGCAATTTTGGCTGTCGAATTCTAAGCTTCTTCTTCGTGTCCTTGATGACAAATGATATTCGATGAATGATCTGATTTTGGAGGTGGCCCTTTTTGTAATTTGTTGATCAGGAAAATCCCGAGAGATTTGACAGAGGCGTCTCTATCAGGAGCTGGGTTATCAATTGTAGCTGCTCTCATTATGATGCTTTTGTTTGGAATGGTAGTCCTCTTTTCCTTCTATTTTGTTTTGCAACATGATCTCCTTAACGTTTCTCTCTCTCTCTGGTGAACAAAGATAATTCTAGCTAGTGAAAGCAAAAGAGTGTGTTGATTGAGAAAGATGTGATCTTTATCTTTGCAGGAGCTGAGTCATTATTTGGAAGTCAACACTACCACAGCCGTCATAGTTGATAAGAGCACTGATGGAGACTTCTTACGCATTGATTTCAACATCAGGTTAGATATTGTTGTGCAGTTATCTGATTAATCGATACCGTTGTGTTTTTATCATGAATACGGTCACTAGAATCATAAAAGATATGGTTTTCTTGCTGCATAGTGGATAACTGCTATGATAGTTTCAAATTCTTTTCTTTCTTTGCCATATGCTCAGAGTTATGTGATGGGATACTGAATGGTCTTCTCTGTAAACTGATAGTTGTTTTTGTATCTTGCTTTATATAGTTTTCCTGCCCTTTCGTGCGAATTTGCTTCTGTTGATGTGAGCGACGTGTTGGGAACAGTAAGTCTCTGCTCACAGCTCTCAAGTCTTTCTATTTTGATGAACCCATTCTCTCTGTTAGAATGCATTTTGCTATAAGTGCTCTATGATTATCATAAAAAAGAGGAAAAGCTTAAATCTTGACACTTTGTTTAGTACCAGAGAATGTATCTTTGGTTAGATGTATATGATAGACTATCTGTATAAGCATTTTGAGTTGGTTGTGCAATGGTGAAATGGATTTAATCCAATGTTATTCGATTCCATTTTTCTTAGTTTCTGCCATCATCAAAGCTAGGTGAAATGAAAAGAATATTGTCTGCAAAGTTTTTGTTAGTAGTGCAGAACTTTGTATGAAACATTTTAAAAGCAAGATTTACTGCCGTTAACTCAGCAATGATATATTTGTGTGTACCCTGCATATTGTTTATATGGTTAGCTGGGGGCCTAATTATGATGTTTAATTCTTTTCAGAATAGGATGAATATAACAAAAACAGTTCGGAAGTTTCCAATTGATCCGCATTTAAGGACCACTGGTGCAGAATTTCATTCTGGCCATGGATTGCATGACATCAACCATGGAGAGGAAATAAAGGAAGAGTTTCCTGATGGCGCCATACCATTCACCAATGCTAGTTTTGAAGTGTTTTCACATCAGTGAGTAGGCGGCTTCTTTTACGTCGTTGTGCATGTATCGGAGGGGTTTGAATATGAATTAAACGTAAATTGGCTTTCTTATGCAGCTTTCCAATAATGGTTGTTAACTTTAATGCACCATGGTGCTATTGGAGTAATCGTCTGGTAAGTAATTTCTTATGCTTCTTTTTAAACTATCCAGTTTCATGGTCAAAGTATCTTGTAGCTTTTACTGGTATTAGTACGTGTTCAACATCAAGAAACCGAGAAAATTCGTTCATGTTTGGTTATGTTGAGTTTCTTATCCTATTATCGACTACTTTTTTTGTCAGAAACCGTCATGGGAGAAAGCAGCTACTATTATAAAACAGAGGTTTTGCATTAGACTCTTCTGCATGTGCATTTGTGAATATTCATAAGTCACGCTTGGCTGATATTTCTCATCTGAGACATGGTCACGTACTGGTGCAGATATGATCCTGCAACTGATGGGCGTGTTCTTCTAGGAAACGTTGATTGTACGGAAGAAGCTGCGCTATGTAGGAGGTACTATATGAAGTTTTATATTTTCGTCAAATATTCTTGTTGTTCTGGGTTATATGAAACTTGGAGACTTGTTCTGAATTTGCTGAATATGTGGAATATACTTTTTGCAGGAATCATATACAAGGCTATCCATCTATTCGGATTTTCCGCAAAGGCAGTGACCTTAGGTGAGAAACCATCTGATAAGATGTTTAAAATTGCCACTACCATGGTTATAATTCTTCATTTCTTCTACTTGACCTTATGTACAACCTCGATTACGTTACTCCTAATTGTGTTCTTAGTATTGTCAAATGTTGACACTTGTGCAATCACCACTGTAGAATTGTTCAATACCTTTATATACTTTTGCTTTTGATTTTTCTGTTACATTTTAGCTTCCTTTTAGGTGTATGTGAACCACATATATCTGGTAGTGCAAACATTCTTATGAAAGTGTTCCCTGTTTTGTTGTTTTCAGAGAGGATCATGGACACCACGAACATGAATCTTACTATGGAGATCGGGACACTGATAGTATAGTTAAGGTAGATAAATCCAAATTCCGTTCTAGTTATCAGGAATAAATTAGTCAACATTCACATCTATGTTTATGTGTGTGTTCGTTTGTTGGCTGCGTATTGAGTCAATATTAAGCATGTTCTTTTGTCCAGATGATAGACGGATTGGTCGCACCTATCCACCCGGAGACTCACAAGTTAGCTTTGGAAGGTATATCCAATGATACATCCAAACATCTGAAAAAGGCACCGGTCGCAGGAGGTTGTAGAGTCGAAGGTTATGTGCGTGTAAAGAAGGTAAACAAATGTGGGAAACCTCGTGATTAAACTGTAGCATGTTTAGTAATTTTTGTTGATTTTTCGTATGCTTTCAGGTTCCGGGAAACCTGGTGATCTCAGCTAATTCAGGAGCTCATTCGTTCGATACTTCTCAGATGAACATGTCGCATGTTGTTACACATCTTTCATTTGGGAGGATCATTTCTCGTAGATTGTTGACTGACATGAGGCGATTGTTGCCATATCTTGGCCAAAGCCATGACAGGCTGGAGGAGAAAGCATTCATAAATCAACACGACCTTGGTGCCAATGTTACTGTAAGTCCCACAAGATCCTTCGTATGATCAATTTAGTTTCTTGCTGTAGCTTCGTCAAATATTCTTTCTTTTACAGATCGAACACTACCTTCAAATAGTGAAAACAGAGGTGATTACAAGAAGATATGGCCAAGAACATTCAGTGATCGAGGAATATGAATACACGGCTCACAGCAGCGTGGCTCAGACTTACTACTTACCCGTTGCAAAGTTTCATTTTGAGCTCTCTCCCATGCAGGTTTGGTCCTCACTTTACACAAACGAGAAGATGGATATTCTCAAATACTCTTCTCTTTGTATAAACTGCTCCTTGGTTTTGCAGATCTTAATAACCGAAAACCCCAAGTCCTTCTCACACTTCATCACAAATCTCTGCGCCATTATTGGTGGTGTTTTCACGGTTAGTGTTTCCTCTTGCTTCTTAATACTCGATCATGGATTACATCTTGATCTTGGATTATTTGTTTTTACCAGGTTGCGGGAATACTAGATTCGATTTTACACAATTCAATAAGACTGATCAAAAAGGTCGAACTCGGTAAAAACATTTGACCCTGGAGGTTAGACATTTCCATTTATCTATAGAAATCCATAGAAGAACCTCATACTGTTCTACAGAGAAACTCAGAAAAGAGAAAGAAATTTTGTTTAGCACTATCTTAGTTTCTTTATGATTCTTGGTCTTTAGATCTTTATCCTACAAGATAGATGGAAATGAGTAAAATGCACACAAGTTTACCTTTTTTTTATTCATTTACATGAGAAACAAATGGGTAAATAATCAAACAACAAACACCAATTGACACACACAAACTCAAGTGAAAAAGAGAATGGAAAAGACTCGTTACAGAGTGAAAACATAAGACAAATTAGTATAGAGTGGAGGCAAGAGCAGCCCCGAGAAGAGCAGCAGCGACGAAGGAAGCAGAAGAAGAAGCTGCGTTGTTTGGAGTTTCTTGAGATGGGGTAGGCATAGGTGCTGGGGTCATCTCAAATGTTCCCGTGACAGGCGGAGAAGGACCGGATTCCTCCGTGGGAGCCGGGGCTGGAGACGGCGGTGATGGTGCTGTGGTGCCGCTTCGGTCAGCCATGACGATGACGACGAGCTTCTCGTTTTTCTTGCAGTTGTCTTTGTTTCCGCTGATGAAGTAGTATGGTCCAGAGTGGGTCAGCGCGAATGAGGTTTTGCCGTCGGCGAATTTGGCAGTTGGTGCGTCTGTGTTGCAGCTGTCGTAAGCGTCTCTTGTGACTTGGAGCACTGAATCTTGGTTTTGCTGGTAGACGAACACTGCAAATTGTGTACGTTTTTTGGTGTGTCACATTGTGAATGAAAACTATGGTTATGGTTTATTAGTAAACTGTGGAAACTTACGCAGAGAGTCGCCGATTTGGAACCTGCTCTGTTCTGCCCATTGGCTGTAAACTTGAGAACCGGAAGGGACGGTCCAACCTTTTGCACCACCCACCGCAAACTCTCTAGCGTTGGCTTTGTTCACGATCATGAACAGACACATGAGACCAAGCCCACGAATAATCATGTTTTGAACCATTTCTTAAACTGAAAAGGTGATAGGAGATGTATGTGAATTTAGTATGGTTTGATGATACATGATGAAAGGTATGATTGGGTTTATATAAGGGTGAGGTTTTTACAGGAGATGTTGCAGAGAAGCCTTTTTGATGTCTTTCTCAGATTCTAAGCAAAGCATAAATATCTGCTTTCAAGTTTCAAGAAGTTGTTTATTTGTTTTCATGAGTTTTGGAATCTCATGTGACTTGCTTCTTCTGTCAATGCCTTTTGTTCCTTGCTTCTCGTATCTCATGTAGTACATTTTTTTATTTAGTATGAGTTTTGTTTTTCAAGATCACGCTTGACCATACATCTGCGTGTATCTAAAGGTTCGAAGGAAACTTTTGTGATTTGTGATTTGTGACAACTTTAAAACTCTTTCCAATATATAATACAAGTTGTATAGCGTAGGTCACAAGTCATCACTTGCGCACTCCTTGATCTTATAAATGAACTTATTTGTTTCACCTCTAGCTGCAGTAGAGGTTGTATCAATTAATGAAAAACTTCTGAGTCATCCAAAGATCTAGGAGAGGATGTCCACTTGGATCTTTTTGCTCGCTGGAATATGTCCCTCTGCTTCTTTGGTCGTTATATGAAACAACAACATTGGATTATACTATTGGCTTGACATTTATCAGATTTTCATATTGTTTTGTAATGCAAAAATAAAATGTAAACTATATAAAGTGTTGTTAGAATCTTATACTGGATAATTTCTTCATATGCCCCAATGTTAAATAGACAAGAGTAATACAAATAACAATGAACAAACTGTATCTCCTAAATACACTTTGATTCTACCAAATTTACAAAATCGCAAAACATAGAGTAACAGGTAGAAGTGATATTTTACTAATAGTAGAGGTATATGTAGATTATAGTACTCGTGTTCTATTGAGAGAAGATGTGTGTATAAATGGTAGACATCGAATTCTAGCGCCGGTAGATGTAATAGAAACGAGTAGATACATATTCTGCTTTGAATTTCAGAGCTGGTAGAAGAAAACTTCCAATATATTTTTAAAATATCATATTTTTGAAAAACAATTGTGAAAATATTATAAAAACTCTTAAGATCATTTATCTCATTTTTAAAAATATTATGGGTTTCTAAAATAAACTATTTCATATTTTTAAATATATCAAGGGTATTAAAGGTAAAAATAGGAACAAATATAAAAATGTGTATATGGACAAACCTTCCTTTTTTTTTTGTGTATAATCACAAATCTCCCCTAAATATATATATGTTTCTAATCGAATTATGTTCCTAATAGAATTAGGAATCAATCTCTCTATATAAGTGTCTGATTCAATAATTGGTATCAGAGCATATAAACATCTTAGACAAGTTCCCGTGAAGAAGAGATTCAACACCGTACGACGAAGTTGCCTCAAAGGCTCAAGGTTTCGAGAGGAAAGTTTGTTCGAACAAACTAGGAACACAAAACATGGCTGGAGAAATAGTTATACAATGTCCAATGCTTAACAACACCAACTACACGGTATGGTCTATGCGAATGAAAGTGGTGCTTAAGGTGCATAAAGTATGGGAGACCATCGAACCAGGATCAGACGAAGGAGACAAGAGCGACATGGCTATAGCACTTTTGTTCCAATCCATACCAGAAGCTTTAATCTTACAAGTCGGAAATCTCGATACATCCAAGGCAGTTTGGGAAGCAATAAAGGCAAGTCATGTAGGAACAGATAGGGTAAAGGAGGCTAGATTGAAAACCCTAATGTCTGAGTTTGATAGAATGAAGATGAAGGAAACAGATACAATCGATGAATTTGCTGGAAAGATTGCGGAGCTGTCAGCAGAATCAGCGGCTTTGGGAGAAACTATTGAAGAACCAAAGCTTGTCAAGAAGTTCCTATCAGGTCTACCTCTTAGAAAATACGTACATATTGTTGTTGCTCTTGAACATGTTCTTGATCTCAATACAACAAGTTTCCAAGACATCGTGGGAAGGTTAGAGGCTTATGAAGAGATAATATTTTGTGAGGAAGAAGATGAACAAAACGATCAAGGAAAACTCATGGACTCGCAAAGCTATCAAGATGGATACGGACGTGGAAGAGGAAGAGGACGCGGTCGTTTCAGCAATTAACAAAACAAAGGTGATGATCAAGGAAGGGATAAGTCGAGAATAGTTTGTTATCGGTGTGACAAAACAGGACACTATGCCTCCGTTTGTCCCGATAGGTTTACTTAAACTCCAAAGAGAGAGCTTGTCTCATTTGAGAGATTGAACCATAAAGAAAAAATGCGGGTGTGACTAAAATTATATTCTGTTGGATTTACAATATATACCTAAACGGAATGATATTTGAGTAATCTAAAACCCGGACACTTTTCTCTGTTTAATGCAATATGTTAACATTGACCGAGAAGTAAAACACCTTGTAGAACATCAGTTCTGGTTTAGAGCTGAAAAGGAGCAATTGATTTTGTCTAATTTTCAAATTTATAAGTGAGGTTAGTATTGCTAAGAACTCTGAAACTCTTTCTAATAGAAGTTGTATAGCGTAGGTCACAAGTCACCACTTCCGCACTCCTTTGATCTTATAAATTAATTATTTGTTTCACCTCTAGCTGCAGTAGAGGTTGAATCCATTACGGAAAAACTTCTGAATCATGCAAAGATCTAGGAGAAGACGTCCAGCGCCCAAAAGGTCCAATATTAAATAGACAAGAGTAATACAAATAACAATGAAGAAAATTGAACAGTTTCTATATTAAATAGACAAAACCAATTCACGTTAACATACAACAAGATGTGGAGAGTCATTTGCCATCAAGGCGCTGGCGAAACACTTACGAATTGGATTTGGGTTTGGTTCAGAAATCAAAAACGTGCAAGCTACGTCAACAGGTCTTGAAAATTGCATTTGCTCAAATAATGGATTCTCTCTTCTTTTTCTGTATACTTTAATGGCCGGGTTTCAATTGTTCTCTTTGTTTCTTTCTTTAATGAGAACAAGAAGAACCAAGGAGAGAACAAGAAGAAAGTAGTTGGTGGAGGTAAGAATAACAACAATTCCATCGTCGAGAAGAAACGTCACCATGCTTTCCAAAGTTTTATCTCAAAATCTCTTAAATGCAAATCCCATTTAATTCTTTACAAGGAAGAAAAGAAAAACCATGAAGACAAAAACAAAAAGAAGAAGCCAGACAACGGAAAAAAGGTAAAAAGAATAACAACAAATACAAGGAGAATCGAGTTTAAGCTTTCATTCCAGAGTAACTACATAAAAGTCAAAAAAAAAAAATGTATCGAACTCGAGAGTTATATTTGTGTTTGTGCGAAAGATTGCTTATGTCGGATGAGTGTGATACACGAGAATCTAAAACATTAATATAGACGAACAAACTTTGTGATTTGATACAATAAACAACTTAGTTTTTTGAGTGGGTGCTATACAATAACCTTTTTTGCTAACAAACTTTGTGATTCGATACATATGCAATCAAGATTTGCACAGTCGCGTTACTTTCGAAACAAACAAGACTTGCTTGACTTAAGCGTTTAGTAGATTAAACATTCATTTACAGGTCAAACCCTTGCCGATTGACCAGCATCTACCTGTCACAAAAACTTACCTAATATTTTACTATTTAGAGGGAGCTCAAACCATACAAGAACATATACCTAAGATTTTACTACTTAATGGGAGCTCAAACCATCTTACTTGGCAACATCTAGGTCAAGCCTAGAGAACTTGAAGCTTAACCCCACAAAAACAAAAAGCTAAGAAGTCTTTTACTGGATTACTGATGATGTCTCTGAAGATCACTAGACGTACGTTGTGGCGATCACTTCATGACAATTTTACATCCTCTAGACTTCCTTGGAATTTTTCTTATCTCCTTGATGATGTTACCAAAACCCTCTTTTAAAACCAGTTCCGTCATGACTGCACAATTCTTCAGAAAGTATGTTGCTAATGTCATCCGGCTTGCGGTCCTTGTTGTAACCGGTAGACGAATTTTAACAAACTTGAGAGATGATACAAAGCATAGTGGCACATATGAGACTTGACTAGGCGTAATCTCTATGTAGGAGTCACATTCCTGAAAGAAAGAGATAATTAATTAAGTTTTATGGGATAGCAAAATTTACATGAGAATATTAATTAAGCAAATAAGACGCACCAGGACAAGTGAGTGTAGACTCGGACAGCAACCAAGAAATGTTGGCAGCAACTCCAAAGATGATTCATGGAACGAAGCACGTAACCAAGTCAAGTTACCAAACTTTGGTAACTCTTCTAGTTTCGAGTAATCATTTATGACCTGTGTCATAGTCAAATTATACTTAGAGAAATGTGATGCCAATTTTGTAATCCTATTGAATCAACAATGTGAGTGTTCACCTTTAGAGTAGCATAAGAGATCTTCATGCTACTAACTTCAGATACCCCTGTGAGGAAATTACGGACCATAGCTCTCTCGGAAGAATCATCAGCATCATCATCATCATCATCTAGGTCCAATAAATAACGCCACTCCATACCAAAATTAACATCAACGTCCACCACAGCAGATGGACTAATTCTGCGTATGGTGAAGCTCTTAGATACGTGATCACTGAGACTCATATGCTCAAGCCTCGGAGCATCGATCTCAACAGCATGATCATTGATAACTCCATCTTCCGAAAGTATAATCCCAAAGGTCAAGAGTTTCAGGGATTGTGAGCGTACGCATGTAAGATCAGAAAGCTCAGTGGGATTAGTGATTATGGTTAGCTTTACAAGAACCGGGCAGCTAGGTATGAGCATATGCAAGATGAATGAGCCATCAATCTTTACAAACTCTATATGCATAGTCTTGAGACAGGGCAGAGAAACAACTGATCCGGGTTTGAGATACGCTAATGTTACATTGTAGAGACTTAAGCTGACTAATGTCTTGCATGAGTAAAGTGACAGAGGCATAGAAAGCTCAGACATAACATCAACATCTAGATGACGAACTCCACGACCAACCACATCATCGATCCACGACTGAAACAAACTATCACTATAAGACGACAAAAACTCCCTAAAACAACAATACAACTTGAATCTCTTGAAGTCTAGCTTTTCATCAGATTTTAGAAATCTATCCATAAATTCCACAAAGTCAGAGTCACCATGGAAAAGAGTCGAACTCAATTTTAAAACAGGAACCTGTAACCAAATTCTTCTCCATCGTTTCGATAAAACGCTGCTTCGAACTGAATTTTTGGTGGAGAGGAAAGAGAGTATGTGAGAGAGCATCGGATCTGGTAAATCGTTTATCCAACATCTTCTTTCCTCTAACTTCTTTTGCTTCCCTTTCACACGAAAGCTTTTATCCATGTCTTACGCCGTAGAACCCTTTGAAATCACCGTCGTCGATTCGATTTTCCGAACGAAACCGTACCAAAAACATCAACTGCAGAAAAGCGTTTCTTTTTTTTTTTTCTTTTCTGTGTGGGTCGGCAAAGTTGTAATTACTTATTGGAATTTATATTGAGTAGGATTAATTCATAATTCATTTACTTAAACACATCAATTACTTGCGCGACATTTGTCCCACACTCCGGTTAAACGTTGTTAGGTAGACGACATTTGTTATCTACAGTCATCACTCATCACCTCCATTAGAAACAAATCATAGATCATTGTTAGAAATCAACTGCTGGCTCCAAATGTATGGACTAATAACTCCTTGTTTTCTTTTTAGTGAATGAATGATCCAAAATTTATACAAGGGATAGAAACATCTAGGGGTGTATTGGAAAAGGGATTTTAAAGATTTTAGGTGATTTTGAGGTCTTTTAAAAAATGTTATTCAAATAAGGATTTTTAAATGTCATTTCAAATTCAGTGTTATTGAATATGGAGTTTTAGAAAGATCATTTAAAATCACTTACCAAGCCCTGTTATTGAATTAGTCATTTGTGAATCTTAAATCAAATCCATTGTTATTCAAAATAAACAACTATTTGGGGGAAAAACTTGTCATATGATTTTTAGGAGATTTAACACCTATTTTTGTGACAAGAATATGGCCAACGAAAATAACACCCATTGATGTGATTTGAAGAAGCTTTATAAAAAAATTATAAAAAAAATGAAAGGACAAATACATGCCATCGTTTCCAATGGAGACAACTCACTCATCTCTCTCTCATTCCCATGGAGATTGCTGTGTACGAGCATGAATACTGATGGAAACCATTTGCTTCCCCTCACCAACGCAATCAAATCTTCCTCAACTTCGTAGCTTTCTTCCTTCTCATCAGTCTCACTTACCGTCGTCACCGATTACCCGTCTCTTCGGTCCCGGCGTTCGATCCTCGCCTTCTCTCTCGTATGATCCTTCCGGTGCCCAATGCAATTACCTTCTCTGAGATGGAAACCTCGCGATTGCGATCTCCCTTAGGTTTAACCCTGCCCAATTCTTCGACAAAATGAGGAAAAATTGTGGGATTAAATGGTGGGATTAAATGGTGGGATTTCATCGGCGATTCCATCTCTCATAACTGACCATGTTCAATCCCCTCATCTGCATTCTCTCTCAGGTCAATTTCAGAATTCAATTTCATCTGATTCCGTCAAATCCAAATTCGATCTCATCTCAAAGTTTGTTGATTTTGCAGGTAGAAAGGTAGAGAAAATCTACCACGACAAAGTCTGAAACAAAAGTCTCTTTGGACAATGATACATAGAACGATTTTGACTCAAGAAGATATGGTTTGTTCACCAACTAAGCAAGAGTTTAGCGCAGTCGCCGTTTAACCCCACCTTTTTTTAGTTTAATGTTTAACTATATGATTGACACCTTGTAGGAGGAAGTACTAAGTAGTTCTAAGGAGGAAGTTTAAAGTTTAACTATATGGTTTGCTCGCTACAGGGAACTTGGCTGCTCAACATGGTAAGAAAATTCCATAGTTGTTGCCAGCTCTACACAATTCTCAGCAATGGCAAGCTCTCTCATTGCAGGTTTACTGCAGTTTAGAAAAAACAAAGTGTTGGGCATGAGAGGTGATGCGTTATAGGGATGGTCAGTGGTTGTGAATGGAGGTGGTGCAGAAGAAGATGATAATGAGGAATAAAGAGACGATTTAAGAAGAACAAGTAAAAAACAGAGTTTTCTTAACAGCAAGTAAAACACTCTTTGGAACCAGCTTCTTTGTCAACAGTTTCACTACGGCAGGTCCGTAACGTCCGTTAATAGATTCATTAATCATCGTACTTATTAATTAGGATGAGTATTAACTATTTATTGGTGCATGACTGCAGTGTGTTAGGAGCAGCCATAGGTGGTGTTGGATATTACACAGTGACTTGGGGACAGTTGAAGGAAACAGAAGAAAAACAAAATCCAAAGGAGGAAATAAAACCGACCAAAACTATTCATTATCCCGAATAAGATGACTACAAAGTCCCATTGCTTATTAATCAGGAAGAAAGTCCTGTGTGAATTTTGTATGATATAGTTTTTTAGAAGAAAATGAGGCCGTTCAAATATATTTTTGGCCCCTTTCTTTCTATGGTGTGAATAAGTAGAAATGCGTGTGAGAGTGTGCTAAATGGTCAGTGTCAATGTGAGATTGCTGAAGTAGGCTTTTTGGTCCGAAAAAGCAAAAGCCACCCAATGTATATACATATCTTTAGATATCTAGAGCTATCTATATTATGTTTCTAAATTCTATGTAATCTCCTCAATCATGGATCGGTTATTGTATTCCCGATGAGTTTTTTTGAGCGGAACAGAGAAACTTTGTTTTATGGCCATTGTTCATCTTTAGAGATGGCAAAGGTAGTGAAAAGGAAGAAGAGATAAGAATCCCTCTATAATCACCCAAAATGATATAATCATTTAAAAGGTCATTTAAAATCCCATAAGAATCATCCAAAATCCTCTCAAAATATTTTCTTAAATCCCATCAAACTCTTTTAAAATCTCCTAAAATCTTTGAAATCACCTAAAATACAAAATCATTCAAAAACACCTAAAATCTTTAAAATCCTTATCCAATACACACCCCCCCCCCCTACATAATAATTTGGGTCTTGTACTCTTGTGTACTGTCTTTTATATCGGTGTATATAATAATAGTCGTAATTTCAAATGCAAAAGTTTTGTAAGAAAAGCCCAATAATCCATAACTACATAAAAGTGTTGACAACTACTATGTCTTTTTCATTATTAGCTTCATTGCTCATCAGTAGTAGTATCACGTTTCCTCTTACTCCCATCTCCTTGCAAAGGCTTGTTATCATTATCAACATCCCCTTTGTTTTTCCTTAACTCTGTAGAGGATATATCCATCCGGAATTTCTCTTCTGGAATTGAGATAAACATGTCGCTTATTTCCTCTGGGATATCAAGATCTTCAAGAACCTGCAGAGCATCAAAGGAGACAAGGGCACTCACAAAGCATACCATCTCTCATAGACAAACGCTCAAGAGAGAGTATTGATAATTGTATTGCTCGAGATACTAGTGCTCAAACCTTAAATACACCATCTACATGGCGGCCACCAACAAGGAAACTGCAACCAGTTCGCTTGCAATCCCCAAGTATCTCCAACATCCTTTTGTAGCTTCCTTCATAGTACTTTGTCTGCAACAACAAGTTGGAATTAGAAGATAACAGAGCACTTCAAACGTCTGTGTCTCAGTGAGTGTTTAAAGTTTAAACTGCTTATCGAAACAGTGTGTGTAAGCACACAAATATAAGGAAAGGTTGAGTATTTACAAACATTAACAAGCCTTGCTGCAGTGTCAGCGCCAACTACAAAGCTGCTTCCTGGGAAGAGCTCGGCTTTCTTGTAGAAGTATGGCTGATTTGAAACTATCATCGTCTTTCCTGCCAACCCAATACTTAACCAATATCAAAGAATGTCTAACAAAATTTGTACAACTTGTTTGGGAAACAATCCGGATCATGAGATTGTTGTATCTCATAGATGCTAAAGTGGTGGTGCACAACAAGATTTAAAACATGAATAAATACTTAAATAGTAAGTGAAGAGAAAAAGGTAAAGATCACACCTACCAATATCTTTGAATTGCTTGACACGACGTTTGATCTCTGCAACTGAAAGCGGTGGTTTGTCGGCATTTACTGCGGATATTTCAAAACATGGGTACCCGCCTCCGCATACACTGTAATCCAGCAAAATTATGCGTTTACATTACAGAGCAAAACAAGACTGTTTGCTACAATGCCAGAGACCTCTCCATAATCCAACAACGGAATCGATTTATATAGCAACACACAACAAAAGAAATGATCAATTACTAATTACCTTGCATTATAGAGCATATCAGATTTAACTAGGAAACACACAGATTCAGCAAAGATTATTCAAAGAACATTAACAGATACACACAAGACTCATGTGAATGGTTAGCATTAACCACAGTTTTTTCTTTTAAAACATGTTCAATTACAAGAGAAGCCTACCTCATAGCGACTTCCAACAGCTTGAGATGACCATCGTGTAATGGGTTAAAAGAACCAGGCAGTATAATCTTTCTATCCTTATCCGACCCGTATGCTTCTGCCAAAAATGCACAACAACTTTATCGTTAATGAGAGCAACAAATGCAAGTTTTTACTTTAAAACCAAAATCTTACCCCCAGAAAATGGATAAACCTTAAAGCACAATTCTCCATTGATAAGCTGGTCTAGTTCTTGCTCTTCAGTAAACTTGGTTTCAGACTCATCAGGCAACTCAGACTCGGTCAAGCCAGAATCAAGATTCCCAGAAACTTGGCATGCCTTGGCCATAGCCTAAGATAATAACCACAAAAAAAAGGTATTAAGAGTGAAAAGTTATGCGAGCTAAGGAAGCGTATCCATTTATAAACAGACCTTGATCAGTACACGGCTTGCCACCTTATCTTCTTCCTCTCGGCTTCGTAGGTTCTACAATTCTCCACAGTAAGATAAGAGAAAAACATGAGTAAGAGCAAGAGAGGAGAAAAGAATCTTGAAATCACCTTTGTTAGAGTGACTGAAGTTTCCCAGATCCGGTTGGATGCTCTCATTGACAAGAAAAACCTAAATTTTTACGACTTGTTGATTAGCTTACATTTCAAGTTTCTATTTACCAGAAGAGCAGTAATCAAAAACATGCATAAAAAACCTGTGATCACCACGCTTTGGAGGAGACGTTGCCAATGCTCCAGTAAACCCCACGCCAATAACCGGATATCCTATCCACCGGTTTAGGTAAACATACACAAATTTAGAACAATTCCAACATGTTGCAAGAAAGAGACCAATTTCAATTCCAATTCCCGCTAATTTAACCGGTTTAGAATAACCTGGTTTAGACAGCTTAACCGCACGGTTATAAGCTAACAAAGCCATCTCGCTCGCCATTGCTTGGCTACAGTGTTGGCTCGGAACCTGAGAACAGAGACCGATAAAAATCCGGAAGAGAAACGATTTCTCAATCAGAAATTGAGGTATTGAGAACGAACCCTGCCGAGCAATTGGACCATAGATATCCGGGAATAAGGAACCACGGCTTCGAGAAGCGTGTTCGAAGCTCCGGGGACCGTCATCAACCAACCTAAAGCCTGAAATTAGTATTTTCGATTTGTGTGAGACTGACTTGCTTTACCACACAATCACAGGCAATGACGCAATCGTGTATATATATATATATATAATTATAGAGATAGACAGAGAAGAGAGAGATAAACCACGGAGGCGCCGCCGGCGAGATACAGAACGGCCTGCGTCGGCGAAGAGTGGATAGCTTCGACGATGGCACGGATCGCAGCTTCTCCCATTGTTTGACTTTTGACTTTCTTCGGTCAGTCGCGATCGTGCCAGAAAAGCAACTAACATTTCAATTTTTCCGTATTTATAATTTATGCCACTACAATATTCATATTTCTCACTAAAACCACAGTTTTTTAAATTACTCCCGTGTGCCCCCCTAGCCTAATCCTCGGAGTCGTCGCCGTGAGTCCGTGACCAAGACGAGACGAGAAGGAGATCTTTGGGCCCACTCTCTGCGTTTAGTTTTTAGCCTTTAGGGCTTTGTCCTAAACAATCACACTCGACATCGACAAGTTATCGTTTCACGATAACGATAATATCGACAAAGAGGGCCGGACAAAAGAGGGCGTACACGTGTCGTTCTCCTTCTTATAATCAATGGTGCCAGCACAATCAGTGCTTCTAACCGTTAGATGAACTCACTATTTGACCGTTAAATCTGATCCGTCGATGCTACAGTGAATGAATATAGTGATCAACTCTTGAATCATTTAGCATCTCTTTCTCCAGAAAATATAATTCTTGGTAAAAAAGTTATCACTTTCTTGTAAATCTTGAAAACCTGAAGAAAAAAATCAAATTACTATAGTATTAAAAGTTACAAAAGAAAGATGAGCTGTGACTTAATTGATACTTTTGTAGTGGTAAAGTTAAGATAAAGAAAATGTTATACATGTAAAAGAAGCCTCGGGGAATAAACAAAGAAGGAGCGTGGGGTCTTATGACGACGTTCACGAGTAAACATATTCAAAGTCCAATCTTATAATCTCCACCCTTAGATCTGTCTTAATCACCAGTTAGTTAGTTAGTCCAATGCCGATTTTAATACACTTACTTTAGATACTCGTATTCATATTGACTAATAATCAATGCATATGTTAAAGTATGGTTTAGGACAAGGTAACAGTTGGTATTTTGTGGAGGTTCGTGCTTACTGCAACATCTATGAATTGCCAACAAAAAGAAAACTATAGTATAATGGTAATTAGTAATTACAGATAAATTGGGAAATTGAGAAGAAAAATGAATAGAGACAAACACTGTAAATGATAGCTACATTGACAGTTGACAGATCAATCAAAGCCTCCGCACTTCACCAATAAAATACTTTTCAGAATAAAACAATAATCCTGACAGAAGGGATACAAAAGGATGTAACTATTTGGCAAAAAGGTTCTGAATTACATATTCACCTACGAGATTTTGGTAAAAAAAGCATAGAAATGACAGAGATTAAAAATGGATTAATGGAAACTTGCAACAAATTAGCGATATGGTATGGATTAAAAATCACAGTTGCTTCTCTTTTGTCCAGCTTCAACCTCTTTTTTATGAATCTTGGTTTTTCCCTTTTTTGTTGATTCTCTTCTCCCAATGCTTCATAGGTCCAAAAAACAGAGCTCTCTCTCTCTCTCTCTCTCTCTCTCTCTCTCTCTACCTTTTGTATTGTATTATTTTTCTTCCTCCTTTTTCTTCAACGAGAGAGTATCTTTATTATTCTTTACAACTTTACTCTTTACTCTCCATCACTATCACTCTCTTGCTCCTCTCTCTCTCTCTCTCTCTCTGTACAAAGCTTAACTAAAACATTCGTCTTTTTGTTCTAATTTCCATCTGAGAAATGTTGGCCTCGCTGATCATCTTCATTGCTCTTCTCTGCAACTACGTCCCCAATGCGACTGTCTACGCCTTAAACGACGAGGGATTCGCGCTCTTGACGTTCAAGCAGAGCGTGCACGACGACCCCACGGGTTCTCTGAGCAATTGGAACTCATCGGACGACGATGCCTGCTCGTGGAACGGCGTTACCTGCAAAGAACTCAGGGTGGTCTCTCTAAGCATCCCAAGGAAGAACCTTTACGGCTCTCTCCCTTCTTCTCTAGGGTTTCTCTCCAGTCTCCGTCACTTGAATCTCCGGAGCAATAGGTTTTACGGGTCGTTGCCTTTTCAGCTTTTCGAGCTTCAGGGACTCCAAAGTTTAGTCCTTTACGGCAATTCCTTCGACGGGTCGGTCTCCGGCGAGATCGGCAGGCTCAAGCTTCTTCAGACCTTAGATTTGTCGCAGAATCATTTCGCCGGCTCGTTGCCGCCGTCGATTCTGCAATGCAACAGGCTGAGAACTCTCGACGTCAGCCGAAACAACTTCTCAGGCTCATTGCCTCATGGGTTTGGCTCAGCGTTCGTCTCTCTGGAGAGACTCGACCTCGCCTTCAACCAATTCAACGGTTCGATTCCCGGCGACATCGGAAACCTCTCTAACCTCCAAGGAACCGCTGATTTCTCTCATAATCGCTTTTCCGGCTCGATCCCGCCTGCTCTCGGTGACCTGCCTGAGAAGGTTTACATCGATCTCACTTTCAATAACCTCTCCGGTCCGATTCCTCAAACCGGTGCTCTGATGAACAGAGGACCAACGGCGTTTATCGGCAACACAGGGCTATGCGGACCTCCGTTGAAGGACATTTGCCCAGGAGATGAGCTCGGCCTTAACGCCTCTTACCCTTTTATCCCAAGCAACAACCCAACCAACGACTCCGATAGTAGCTCCGAAACGAAACAGAGATCAAGCGGTTTGGGCAAGAAAGCCGTCATTGCCATTGTTCTTTGCGATGTTATCGGGATCTTCTTCGTGGGTTTGCTTTTCACTTACTGCTACTCAAAGCTCTGCGGTGGTGGTAGCAGCGAGAACCAGTTGAAAGAATCCAAGAAAAGGGCTGCTGCTGCGGAGTGTCTGTGTTTCCGGAGAGACGACTCGGAGACGCAATCGGAGAACGTGGAGCACTGCGACATTGTGGCGCTTGACGCTCAGGTAGCGTTTAACCTGGATGAGCTGCTAAAGGCGTCGGCTTTCGTTCTCGGGAAGAGCGGAATCGGCATTGTGTACAAAGTGGTTCTAGAGAACGGCCTCACACTCGCCGTCCGGAGGTTAGGCGAAGGAGGGTCTCAGAGATTCAAGGAGTTTCAGACGGAAGTTGAAGCCATAGGGAAACTTAGACATCCCAACATTGCTAGTCTTCGAGCTTATTATTGGTCTGTTGATGAGAAGCTTCTCATCTACGACTATGTTTCCAACGGTAACCTCGCAACCGCCCTCCACGGTGAGCCACCACCCTCTTCTCTTTCCGAGACATTCAGTTGCATCATGTAAAGTCATTACAACGTTTGTGTGTGTTTATGTGTGTGTGTGTGTGTGTGCAGGCAAGCCAGGGATGATGGTGAATGTAGCTCCGTTGACATGGTCGGAACGGCTGAGGATAGTGAAAGGGATAGCGACAGGGCTAGTGTATCTGCACGAGTTTAGTCCAAAGAAATACGTCCATGGAGATCTCAAGCCAAGCAACATTCTCATCGGACAGGACATGGAGCCTAAGATCTCTGATTTCGGACTAGCAAGGTTGGCTAACATCGCTGGAGGATCTTCTCCGACGGTACAGTCAAACAGAATCATCCAGACGGAAGAGAGGCAGCAGCAACACCATCACAAGAGCGTGTCTTCGGAGTTCACAGCTCACTCTTCCTCTGGCTCATACTATCAGGCACCGGAGAGTCTTAAGATGGTAAAGCCGTCTCAGAAGTGGGATGTATACTCTTATGGAGTCATTTTACTGGAACTGATTGCGGGTAGGTGTCCGGTAGTGGAGGTTGGGACATCGGAAACGGATCTTGTTCGGTGGGTACAGTTGTGCATTGAGGAGAAGAAACCATTGTGTGATGTTCTTGATCCTTGTTTAGCTCCTGAGGCAGATAAGGAAGACGAGATCGTCGCTGTTCTTAAGATTGCAATCACTTGTGTGAATAGCAATCCTGAGAAAAGGCCTACTATGAGACACGTTTCCGATTCTCTCGACAGATTACCAGTGGCTGGCGATTGAGATATCTAAATGCACAAATGTGGAGCTTGAGCCTGATGAAACTAATGTGGTTTTTGTTTTGTTTTTTTATTTGTAATGTCTTGTTGGTAGTTATCAAGATTTCCCTCTCTTCATAACCGTATTTATATAGCTTGAAGCATCGTTACATCAGATATTGAATATTACAACCACAAGTGAGCTAATTTGGATATATAAGCAAAACCGGTGAACTTGGACTTGAAAGCTTTAGAAGGGAAGAAGAGCATCGTTTCTTCTTGCGATTCTCATCCGATTCACGGTTTCAACAAAATCCCTATCAAGAAGTTTACAAAAACGTGGTTTAGTCAAATGGCAAGTTTTTTTTGTAGAGAGGAAGTGTAAAAGAGCTTACTTCCATGGAACATCACCAACATTCTTCCAGATGCCTTCTCTGTCTCTGTAGACCAAAGAGAACTCAGACTCATCCTGGAACAACCTCAATCCCGACACGGTATGCATCCCTGCAAATTCAACTTGATGTGGCATAATAACTCTCTGAAACAACATACTTAAAGCTGGATAAGGTTGAGACTTTAGATAATAAGCTTACCAAACATATTGTCAAGCTGAAGTGCAAGAGTTGAGTAGGTTCCATGATGAAGAACGCAAACCTTGCGGCCTACGACAGAGCCATCCATATTTACCTTCACATAAGCCAATCTTCCTCTGCTCTCTTCTCCAGCATTATAATATCCTCGAGCAAGCATATGGTTTCCAGTTTCCTCGGTCTTTAGCTCTGAATTGCTGCTGTAGCTGGTTTGCGACCAGTCTATGAGCTCACCATACCCGTCCAGACCTATCACTTTGATTCGCATATAAGAGATACTGAAGATAGCAAGTGAAGGATTAAGAAAACAAATGGTGAAAAGCAGCAAAAGAAACTCACTTGGACTCGATGGGAGGTAAGTTTCATGTTGTATGGTCCTAAGGCTGAGGCCTAGGTCGATTACACCACGACCCTTGTTGGTCTGCGAGTAATATGTATGAAAGTTTGAAGACCCATGAGAAAATTCGTTTGGGTCCATTGATGCTTTTTGATGTCTGTCTACAAATGGAGTTAAGAAAGAAAGTTCATTTTGATAAGGATTTATAGCTTGAAGCTGAGGCTGAAGAAAGTGTCAGACGAGTAAAAGAGAAAAGGACATAACGTGAGACAGGAAAGAGACACAAGACAAGAAGAACCCATTAGGATTAAGTTTGTAGCCTCTTTGTTTTCATGTCACTGAGTGCAAGGGATGGGGAGCTGACCACAAGAGAGATTTGTTTCAGATTTTGTAGCCCAACCAGGGCAACATTGCTTCAATGCTTCTGTTTGCAGAAAGTCAAAATCAGGATCTGAACTGTCTCAGTCTCAAAACTCAGTGAACTTTGTCTTCACAGCGTCTAAAAATATCGGCAAGTCGATTAAGGAGAGACAACTCTGTTGCTTTGCGTGAGTGAGGGAGTGAGTAGTCTAGTGAAAGATTACAAATCGTGAGCCGAAAGTATGGTGAGTTGGGTTTTTGGTGTTTACGTGATGATACAGATGCGATCTCTCAAAAGAGAATGTTATGTTTCCAAATTGCAGGACAAGGCGATTTTGTCACTACCTTTTTCTCCCACACCTTGTCTCAGAGAAGTAGTAGGATCCAAGACCAGATCATACACATGGATCCCTATCTGTACTTATGCTCCCACGTATCAAGATGAAGAAATGGGGAGTAAGACAGACATTCTTCCAAATATTAAATGTTTTACATTCATTCAAACATCTCATTGTTATAAGCACCCTTAAACAATATAAGAGCCTTCAAATCTCCAACAAGTAGTAAGAGAACGATAAAGAGAGATGATAAAGGAGTGAAACGAGAGCTACTGAGAAATCATTTACAGAATAAATGAATGGTAATAATAATGATATAAGATCCATGAAAAATGGTAAAGCACAACTATAATGTAAAACTCCAAAGACTCCTTATTCTCTAATTACCCACACAACACTTTTGACATAATCCATAACAATACCAAACCAACATGACGCCAGACACTTTCTTCATGCAGCAACTTATAAAAAAGAAAAAGAGAAGTAAATTATATATTTATACGTTTAAAAAACCAAACCGGGGATAATCTTCCTCCAAAATTGTGTTGTATCTTCCTTGTGCCTTGGCCCTTGTGTGTCACAATGGCTGTGAACTCCGGATCTGTTGAGTCAAGTTCTCAGCTGGAAGCTTAGCAGGAGCAGAGCCATCAGGCATCACCATGGCAGGTGGGGGCCCAGTCATCGTCTGGTACTGTGCGTGTCCCAGAGGCTGCTGCGTGTAGTATATCTGTTTATGACCATTGTCGGTGTACTCATATCCATAGTTTGGGATCCCAGCAGAACCAGACTGAGGTGGGTGATGGATCTGGGAATAACCCATGAACTGCTGCTGGCTTGTGGGGATCTGGTGAACCATCTGCGCACCACCGGGCATACCTGGCGCTGTCGTGTAAACCCCAGGGTCAGGTTTTGCAGCAGGAGCACTTCTCATGTGGTTGTTAGGAGGTGGAGCCATCATGGTGGAAGGGACAGACCCTGGAGCCTCGCTAACGCTTCCAGATTGTGGCACAGGCATACTGTAAGGCCTTGGTGGGACTGGAGCAGTGACGTAATAGATAGGATAAGGCTGCTGGTCCATTTGGCCTGGGTGGCGGTGGAAGGACTGTGGCTGCTGCGAAGGGTAGACCTGGATGTATGTTTGAATAGGAAGGCCAGTGGAGGGATGGTGATGAATGTATTGTGGTGCAGGAGCGTGTATGAACTGTTGTTGTTGCTGTTGCTGAGATTGTTGCTCGAATTGGGGGTGAAGGATGTAGCTTGGGTCTTGATTCTGGTTTTGAGATAAGGGTGTGTTTGGATCCGAGTGGTTGATCATTCCGGGAGCTACGGTGGAGCCAGAGGGCATCTGAGGAATTGGTTCTTGGTAGAGGGAAGGTCTTTGGTGAAACACAGGGTTGTTCATGCTGCTATCACTGAGGCATTCCAGCAAACACATAGAGACTAGCATCAGAGACTAGCGATGAAATGAAGGCGCATTTGAGTTTGATTGATTGAGAGAGCATTTACCTGGAAACGGAATTGGGTGAGGGAAGCTCGTGTCCACCGCTGTTTGATTTCAGTAGATGAGGCGGCGGATTCTGATTCTGCGGCTGCGAACGTGGAGTCGGAGGTTTTCTGTATCCAGCGGGCATGCCCTGATCGGATCTCTCGTCGTCAGAGATGACCTTCGTCTGGAACTCGCTTGAGACGGTTGCTGCACTCACCGGAGCAGCAGGAAGGGCGATTGTGACGGGCATCGGCGGCGGTGGTGACGAGATCGCTGCGAATCCGTCCTCCTGCTGATGCTGGAGCTGCTTGTTCCCGGCGTTGATTCGTGCGAACTGTTCTTCGATTCCCAGCCTCTGGTCCTGCATCGCCCTGACTCCGCCGGATTCCTCTACATGGACGCGAATCGGCGGCAGATTCGCGAGCGAGGGGGAAGAAGAAGTTGACCCAAAGGACGAGGATGTGTCCAGCATCGGAGAATCCGGCAAATTATGCACATCTTGGCCTCCTTGCTGCTGCTGCGAAGGAGGCTGCTGGATTTGTTGCTGCTTGGCGCTTTTAACGGAACCATCGTCATCTCTGACACTGGAATCGAGATTGTTGCCGTTTTCTCCGGAATCAGAGCGGAGAGCAAGAGCGTCGTCCAAGCCAAGTAAACGATTGACGTTGGTGTCAGAATCTGAGAATCCACGACTGAGAAGGCCAGCGCTGTTGAGAGCGTTAAGGAACCAATCGTCGCTCTTGGCCGAGCTCTCGAGGATCTGACCCATCGACTGAGTTGCCTCCGGCTTCGACGTGAAGAGAAACAAACGGAGTCGCGAGGGTTTGGTGGAATTGGAGGCCGAGATCGTACGATCATACTCCTCGATCATGTTGTCGAGATCCTCGTCGGTGGTGACGGAGATGAGAGAATCGAGGTCTTCGCTGGGTAATTGGTACTTGAGCGTGAAGGAGCGGCCGTTGAGGAGGGTGTTGGAGAGACGAGCGACGAGAGAAGAGAGAGAGGAGTTACGGTCGACAACAACGATGCGAGTGTCGCCGCCCATGTAACAGAGTGATTTATCGTGAGGACGAGGAAGGATATGGCCGCCGTAGCTGCACATAAGACGGAGTTTAGAAGAGACGGCGGTTCCGCCGCCGGAAGGAGCAGGAGCATCGTCCCAGCCATCGGTGGTGCGAGACCTGGGAGATGAGTCTAGAGACTCGGGATAAGATGACGTCACGTGAGGAGGAGGGGGAACTGGAGCGGTGGCTGCGGGGACGACGGTGGAAGCCACCGCGGTGGAGGAGAGAGAAGGAGGCGGTGGTTCCATCAAGAGAGAGAGAGAGAAAAGAGGAAATTAAAAATTAAAAAAAAAGAGGCGAAATTGAGTGGGGAAGTTGATATTCTAATAGAGGAGAGTTATAGCTAGTCCACGACTTGTAAAACCACAGCTGGTTTTTCCCTCTTTTTCTTTTTTTCCTTTTTTTTTATTTTAACCTTAAATCTAATTTATGGTATATGCTTTGCGGCTTTACCATTTTTACTGATTTACCTAATGATGGTCAAATTCCTTTCTCTTTCAAAACAATTTCTTTCATTTTTTGATAAATGATGTTTTAACATAGAAGGGTAGTAAATCATAAGAAAATTCCTGGAAAAAAAAAGAAGCTATCTCGAGCTCTTACACGCACATTATCAAATCTAATAAATGTGTGTGATTTATTGCTAGATTAAAGACGTCTGTCTTTGTTTTTCTAATTACTAATTAAAAAAAAAAAATCATTGTTGATATTCACGAGATATGTGATAAATTTTTATCATTTTACATTTTGTGTTTATATGTTTTCTAATTAACAGAAGAAAATGTGATTAATGTAGTGAATCTAGTGATCGTTCATGCAGATTTTTTATCATTGGCATTTAAGATATTGTTTTATAGAATCGTTGGAGATCTATCACTAAGGAAAAAAAAATGAACATGCATTAAAAGAGAAACAATCAAAGTTGCGGAGAGAGCTAAGAGTATTTCGTAAAGATACTCTAACGCTCAAACTAAAAAAAAAATGTTCAGAAAGAGCTACAAGAATAAGGTAACCGCATAATAGATTTAGCAAATGCAGATGAGTCTGTGATTTGTTTGCAGATTATATGATATTTTGTAGAGAATTAAGGTGTGGGATCCTGATAAATGATGTGATGATTTACATATATTTATTTATTTATTGTCAAAGGGTCTTCATTTTTAAGAAAATACGAATTATAAAACAGATAGATAAATATTTATAAGAGATTATTTGTTTCACATAGGGTCGGATATTGGGTATATAAAGTGTTTAAGTTGTTCTCTTGTAACGTGTAAGTATCTTACACGAGCCACAAACATAATTAAGTGGTTTGGCACGTTAAGCTTCGATTACAGTTCGATAGAATATCTGCGTGAAATGGTTATCTTGTACGCTTTCTTCGGAAATGTGCTCGCAAAACATGGTTACCATTACTCTATGCATGAGAAGGTTGATCTGATGTGCATGTACTAAGATGTATATCTCCTATAATGGAGTAATGCGGGAGACCGTCTTCTTTGCTGATGTGGGAGACTATTTCATTAGGTGCCACATGATGATGTCTACGTTGAAAATAAACATATGAAAGATGGGTTCTAATTTCAATTCGATCATTCAATTTGCGAATCATGTCTCTCTTGAGTATACATAATTTTATTCGATAAGAAGAGAGTAAAATCTCACTCTCATTGATTCTGAAGTATGTATATTACAAATAAATAAAAACATTGGCTTCGATTGGTGACATGTGGTACCATAGTTGAGTTAGAAGAAATAGTATATTTGCAGTAAAAAAAAATAATAATAATTAAAAAAATGTGAAAAGAAAAAAAAAATGCTAAATCAAACTCTGTAAAAATTGATTTGAGTTAACTATTTTACAAAGACATATATCAAAATTCTACTTCAACTATACCGCATTCTAACTGCAAAAAAGTTAAAAAATAAATCACGGTAACATTTTTGAGTTATGACCATTAATCAAACTTACCACATGATATTACATGTCACCAATCAAAACCATTAAAATTATGACCACGGAAATTGTGGATAGGACATAACGTTTATTATTATCTGAATTTGTTTTTATGCTTTTTAAAAGAAAATTATTGCTTTATCCATTTCAAGTTAGTTATCGTTTTGAGAAAATGTATAGGCAATGTATAAGTATATATCATTAATCAAATTTTAAAACTTTGTGACCATGAAATAATCTTTATTATTATTCAAAAAATGTTTTTATGGTTTTTAAAAGAAAGTTACTATTATGAAATTATCATATTTAAGTATATGTATAAAATAAAAGTCGGTTGACAACTTTATGAGACACATGTCACTTATAACTTAGTTTTGAACAAAATAATTTTCTTTTTCTTACTCTCTCCATTTCATAATAAGTGTCATTTGGACAAAATGTATTTGGATAATAATAAGTGTCATTTTGAGTTTAATATACCTAGATACACTAAATTCTCATTTCCTTTAAGTGACATTTATTATGAAACAGATAGAGTATTTTATTTGCCATATGGATATGTGTTTCACAATCGGTTAGAGGAAACATTAATAGAGTTCCATTCTATATTTATATATGTACTCCCTACGTTTTAAATTAGTTGTCGTTTTAGCAAAATGTATCTACAAATATTTGGACGTATCTGCAATGCAAAACACGTCTAGATACGTCCAAATATTTGCAGATACATTTTGCCAAAACGATAACTAATTTGAAACAGAGGGAGTATAAAACATTTGTGATTGGTAATCAGTCAGATGACAATTTTGTGAATAACATGTACTCCCTCCGTTTCAAATTAGTTGTCGTTTTGGCAAAATGTATCTGCAAATATTTGGACATATCTGGACGTGTTTTGCATTGTAGATACGTCCAAATATTTTCAGATACATTTTGCCAAAACGACAACTAATTTGAAACGGAGGGAGTATTATTTATAATTTTCACTGAAAAAAATTAAAAGCTCATTTATTTTTTCTTAGTTTGTTTGCCACTTGGATTTGTGTTTGACGATTGGTTATAAAGAAAATATTAATAGAGTTTCATTAAAAAAAGAGGTTTCATGTGTTTCTCAATTGTGTCTTCCTCTCAATCATGATCCCAATTTTTCAATAGTGCAATATAAAATATCGTTTACAAATAACGATAAAATATTTTACGAATAATGTGTAATTGTATATATAATATCATTTATCCATATTTTTCACGAGTTGTAAAATATTAAATTATATATCTCATCTATATGTGAGACATATTCTAATAATATATAAAAATACTAACAAAAATAAGCATGTTCTTAATGTTTCAATTTTGCTTGCTTTGTTGTTAGGCCTATTTCATATGTGTATATCAATTTACTTTTTGGAGTAAATACGAGTTCAGTATAAACATGTTTACTCTATGGAGTATGTTGTATCATTAATTTTCGTTGCATGGAAGTTTCATCCGAAAATCATTTTTCGCTATAGAATCAGAATCATGTTTCCATGGCGCTTCTTAAAATACTTATATAAAATGCTTTGAAAATTTAGAAATTCCATTTTGGAATTTTATTATTCCTATTTAGAAACATGATATCATAAATGAAAATAGTTTTTTCATGTTTCTGATTTTTTAAGTTACACAAAAACAAAAATCAGTGTAGCACATATTTAATTTGGCTTATGCAAAGACTAATTCTAATCTATCTAGAAAAAAAATTGCATAGAAAGATTGCTTTGATTTTTCCTAAAAAAAAGATTGATTTGTTTACTTGCGAAACGAAGATAATTTTTTTTTATTAGTTGAATGTGTTTATCTCGAAAGATTTAAATTTAATGATTTTTTCGTTGAATAACATAGAATATGAGATAGTTTTAGTTGATGGAGTTGGGAATCATGAGAATCAAAAACTAAATTAGGTTTTAAATTTGAATTTCTTTTTAATTATTGTTAATTGAGTTATATAAAATTGATATATATGATTTCTGCTATACATATATGTATATATAGACCCTTTCAATACATATCCGTTTGATAAAATTTTAAATATTAATTTTGCGTTTCCAAATGTTTTTACTTAGATATATCTGCTTTTGATTCCATGCAGCTTAACCACTAACACGGTTTAGATATAATTTCAAGAATACATATGGTTATTTTTTGGAAGAAAAATTATGACACTGAAGTTAAAATAAAACAATACGACTAGTCTGGTTAAACTTCAACTAGAATAGAAAGAATGTTAAAATAAAACAATACAACTAGTCTGGTTGCATTACATTTCTATATACAGTAAAACCTTTATAAAGTAATAATGTTGGGACTTTGAAATTTTATTATCTTATAGAGATATTACTTTATGAATAAATAAAGTATTTATTCATTTATAAAAATATTTTTTTAATTCATAATCTTCGAAAATTATTCTTCATACGATAATGTATTAAGAATTTAGAAGAACTTATTTGTTAATATATCATACATAAACTTGATATTATGATCAAATCTTTTGGATATCGTAATAAAATATATATTATTAGCTTATTTAAAAAATTCTATAAAATTTGATAGACGATAAAAATTAAAATAAAAGATTAGAAAAATATAGCTATTAATGAAGTTGAAAATAATGATTTTAAACATATTTAACAATTTCAGATGCATATAAAAAAATCATTATGAGTTTTTTATATAATAAAAAGTTAAAGATTAACTTTAAGTCATAGTTTCATAAATTTTCCTAGACATATATTTTTTTTTGTCAACCTTCTTAGACATATATGTATCATTTAATATAATTATTACTTTAACTTTATTGGGACCATATTTTTACATAGGAGTTTCAAAAATATTATTATCTTATTATCTTATCGCATTTTGCTTATTTTTACACTGGCCCGAGTTGGGACCGAAGAAATTTATTACTTTATCGTGATTATTACTTTATCGAGGTTCTACTGTAATGTATGTATGTATGTATGTATAAAACTATAAAAGGGAAGAAAAAGAGAAAAAATTATGCAAATTGTTTTCTTTTCTTGTCATTTATATTTTCTATATAAAACACCTTACTATCGTCTCACGATATCGGTATCCACCAAATTAACGTATCTACTAACTACAAACAGTGTTTTGTTTTTGTTGCCAACTACAAATTACAAACGTTCAAATATTCCTTTCCTGTAACATATTCTTTTACCGTCAAAACTCTATAATAAAAAAAAGAGTATATATATTACCAAAAACGAATTATAAACACATTTCCTAGAT